GTATATTTAAATTTGCGAATTCTTTTGACTATCAGTGGTACATCTTGTTTCTGTTCATTAGTTTAACTTCGTAAAACTGTCTCCAAATATTTGTTACTGGGGTATGTTTCAAAAAGTATACGAGTGAACTATATGTCAGTCAGTCATTCAGTGAGGTCCAGCTCTGCCCAAACTATAATAGTATGCGACAGACTACTTGGGTCCGTTTCACAAGCCGACCGTAGGGCGACGACTGTCAAGTCGATATTAAAGTATACATGTAGGAACATGTCAACAATAGTTGCTGCACTACGATCTTTTCGTGAAACTGCTTTTTGAAACGGACCCAGGTCATCTGACTACTCAAGTAGATGACGCAACCACCGTTGTACCAGAATATTTGTTTGTCTGATTTTCTATTGTTTCACGCCGCACTCAGCAATATTCCACCTATATGCCGGCGGTGTGTAAATAATCTAGGCTTGACCAGACAGTTTTGTGATTGATATCATGAGCAGCAGTCCACGCAATTGGGATATGATGACATGCATCAACCAAGTCAGCGAGTCTGACCACCCGATCCCGTCGGTCGCCCCTTACAATAAGTATAGTCGCCTTTTACGATAAGCATTATATTCCCGAGGCATGGCAGTTCACTGACCATAAAGGTCCACCCTTGCCGCGCTCAATCTCATTAAAATCAGATCTTAGTTCTCGCTACCGCTAAACAAAGATCTGAGGACATCCCATTACGGGTCACGTCAGAACAACCTTGCGCGAACTTTGACCGACCAATCAGGAGGAAGCTTTCTCGTGCTTTAAGACACTAATTTCAAATTGGCGACTACGCTTCGAAACATATTTTGACAAATTCTCGATTACAAATTTGAAAGCTAAACAAAAGAACATTCTGGAATGGCTTATAGATTGTCGAGATTGTATGGATTCAGTCGTTAAATCCGTAACCATCGTTCGGAATACCCCGTGTTAAAGTTTTCGAGGTTCTATGATTCGAAATCACTTTCCGACTGTCACTTTCATACTCTGGTAAGCGACGCTCTGATTGGTCGGATGAAAGGTCGTTCTGACGTGACTTGTAATGGGATGTCCTCAGAACCTTGTTTAGCGGTAGCGAGGACTAAGATCTGATTTTAATGAGATTGTGCCGCACTAGGCTGAAATAATGGAGTTATGTTCTAGCGAGTCTCTGCATACCCTAATCAATAAATCGACATCCGGTTCGTAGACTGCCGTGCAGATTTCGGTCGACTGCAGGATTTGCAAAACATGTGTACCGCTCGGCGTCAACATATATTTTCTAAATCTTTTCATATTTCTAATCAAGGTGTTCACGTGGTTGGATGCACTTCGCAGGTAAGACCCTTTATATTACAAAAAGGATTTGATTATCGATCAGATCGTCTTGACTGGGCGCCGCCATTTTGTTTGAAGCAAACGCAAATGATATGAGAGGTGGAATATGATTGGTCAAAAGGAGGGCCATGGAAGGGACATAACTCATAATAGACACTGGTAGCGCTACGAGCCTTGCAATTCCAGCCTAGTTCGGCAAGGGAGGAAACTGGACTCTTACAGTCTGTTAACTCCCTTGCCTCGAGAAGATGGACAAGCATGGGTTGCTGAAGACCCATTCTATCCCAGATGTTCACGGGCCTGCTGCACTACCATCTTTTTCTGAAACTGATTTGTGAAACGGGCCCAGGTCCTCTGACTACTCAAGTATATGACACAACCACGTGGAACCAGAATCAAACCATGGAACACACATAACAAATTGTGACTTCTTTATTGGGAATCATTCATTCATTCATCACTTGTTCTGGCGCGGATTAATCTCAAATCATGAAATTAAATTTAAACTTTAATTGAAGGACAATGATAATGTAAACACTTTCTATTTTTTATGAGTAATTAGTATCACATATTTAAAGTCTTCTTTAAAAATTCAAATGCATTCAAATCCTGCCTTGCAATTAGTGAGCTCCTTACAAAATTTACTGTGAAATTTGTGATTAATACCCTTCCCAGTAGAGAGCAGGAGGGTAACGAAGGTGTCTAACACTGGTAAGGAGCTTGTAGAGAAAACAGCAGTTTCAACAATTTAAAAGGGATACAAAAATTATGGTGAGATTTTCTTGACTCAAACATGCATCACAATGGCACCATGTTCCAAGTGGTTTGTTAGATACTATTAGAAAACAGCTCAAGTTGTCCACACAGTTCACTGAATCATAACTATTAATGTCTGGTATCCATCAAATATTGATTGCAGATTACAGTTACTTTAAATGTTGATAACTAAAACATGTTAGAGTACAACACATAATGGAGTGAGTGAATGAGTATCATGAGTACCCCGCTTTTAGCAATATTCCAGCAACATCACGGCAGGGGACACCAGAAATGGGCTTCACACATTGTACCCATGTAGGGAATCAAACCTGGGTGTTCGGCGTGGCAAGCGAACGCTTTAACTATTAGGCTACCCGACCGTCCCTACACATATTGGACATCATTCTACATCAATGATGGTGGTAATGATGGGACTAAAACAGATGCGGAATAGTGCACAGAAAAAACTCAATACATAAGAAAAGCTCTCTAAGAGAATGGGTACAATGTTTGAAGCCCATTTCTGGTGTCTCCCACCGTGATGTTGCTGGAATATTGCTAAAAGCTGGGTAAAACCATACTCACTCACTTTAAGAGAAGTTCCCTTGAATACAGTTTCCGAATAACTTGCATACATCATGTACAAATGCTACATGTTTAGATAGTTGTCCTTATTCGTTGTTTAATGCCTCACTCAGCAATATCAATCACTGGATTGTCTGGTCCAGACTCAATTATTTACAGGCTGCTGTCATATAGCAGTGATATTGCTGAGTGCAGTGTTAAACAACAAACACACAAACAATCTTCCCATGCAGAACACAAGAGTTAACATTATTTTCCTGTTAGATCCGTAACTTTAAACTGTTGGTGTCCATGAATTAATGAATTGTGAAATTGCTATGTGGGATTTGTAGTCCTGTCAAAAATCAACAACATATTAGGGTTTCAATTAAATTGAATGAATCGGACAAGCTTGATTTTGTCAACAGAATCCTGAATATTTAACTCAGTAGCATCACATAACTTGAACAAGATATTACAGTTTTAATTAAATGGAATCAATCTGACAAACTTGATCTTATCAACAGAAACTGATACCTTATTTCTGTCTGTCCAAAACTAAGGGTAATGATTTTCTTTACATTTTTCATTATTCAAAATGAATAGAGGGTTACTTGTCCGCTTCTGATTCCATGGAAACGGTAAAAGATAACTAAACAAAACACTGTAAATAGCAAAAGCCATAACCAAACCACATAAGGTACCAAGACATGTTTCATAAGTGAATGAGTGAGTATGGTTTAACGCCGCTTTTAGCAATATTCCAGCAATATCACAGCGGGGGAAACCAGAAAATTGGCTTCACACATTGTACCCATGTCGGGAATCGAACCCGGGTCTTCGGCGTGACGAGGGAGCGCTTTAACTACTAGGCTACCCGACCGCCCCTGTTTGTAATAGAAAGCTTATCCAACTTGCAATAAACATCCCTTCGTTGCACCTATTTGTTCCCATGGTTGTTGTATATGACGCTTTAACCACTAGGCTACCCGCTCCACATGTTTCATAAAGATACCTTGAATAACTAGAGTCCTTGGCCCTGTTCTGCAAAGGGATCATTGGGCTAGGACAGTCATAACTCCCATACTTTATTGTAGACTTACAACAGTCGTAGCTATGTTCGCTTTGTGAAACGGGCCTTGATCTGAAAACATGTGTTACCTGCTTTTAGTTGTATTTGATTTTGTTTGCATGAAATATTGAACTAGAATGTTCAATATTTCATGCAAACAAAATGCCAAGAAAGATCACATGACCAATTGGGCAATACAACTCAAAAGTCTCCTGAAGATGTCTTCAGTATCTGCAGAGTATTGCTCTGAATACTGGTCCTTTTACAACTTTTCTTTCAGAGTATTTGACCTTGATCATGGAATATTTAAGTTATAGTGACAGTAATACCTTATACTGATATAAAATCTATCATGCAAGTTATAACCTTGAAACAAATAATGTGATGCTTGGATCTTTGAGGAAAGGTTCCATTGGACGATGGTATTTCAGTAATGTCACAACATATAGGCACAAATAAAATAATGCTTGTATGATGCTGACAAACCAAGGATCATAATCAGGGTGAATCATGAGCAGAGGATCCTTATCGAGCAAAGGGACACAACTCTTTTACAGCAAAAAACACCCCCTTATTTTACTGGCTAACCCATGTCTCAAGGACACATTGGATAAAAAAGAAAATAATAAAAATAATAAATCAACAAATACAACAATGTAAGGAGCAAAAAAAGTAACACAGTTATCAATATTGTCATTTGTCCAAAATAACATTATGAAGACAATAAACCTCATGACTACTTGCAAACATTTAAGAATGAGGCATTTCATTCATCAAAACAATATTTCACAAATTTTCCACAATCAACCAGCTTTTGCTCATGTGATAATAATGCTGAATCAATGCTGAATTAATGCTGAATCTCAAGGCAGTGTCAGTGGAATTTGATCTCAAGGCTGCGTGAGTGGAACTTGCTTGCAATCTCACAAAATCATATCCATTGTTTGTATGGATTTCACAATTCATTTATTCATTTTCATTCCAATTCTGGTGGCTGTTACTGTATCCTTTGTGACCATTTATCCAATAATCAACTAACAGCACCAGAACAATAAAGTGGGTAGCAGTCAGCCAAGGGAAGATAACTCTAGTGATTGAGTTGGGTTTAACGCCGCTTTTAACAGTATTCCAGTCATATCATGGCGTGTCAGCTTAATGTGGGAGGAAAGCCCAAAGTGATGCAGGTCTCAGACGGTTACCACTTCGGTGAAACCCACGAGCACGGGTATGGTGCTGGCAAACCTAGAAACATAATCGGGGCGAACCGTGATTCGAACCCACAATCATAGGTTTCTGGTGTGCGTAAGGGATGCAACTCTGCACAGCGAATTGCGGCACCTTAGACGACTTGGCCACCCGTGCCCCCGGAAGATAACTCTAACCATCTGGGTTTACTTCTGCAAAAATATTCTCCACATTGCCATATCCTCATGGATTTCTTTGTTGTAGCATTAGTAAATCGCAATTAAAAGTTGAAGTCATTGTTAGCAAACCACTTATCCATAACAACATAACACTTCTGCAATTTTTGCTTGTTGGCATAAAAAACCCAAAGAATATTAAGAAAATAATCGTTTCCGCAGAAAAAATGTAAAAAATATGTTTTTCAATTCCTGACACCTTTGTTCCATCCAAAGAATTAGTCAATTTCACAAGATCCTAATTTCTGTTTTTTAAAAACTGGCAAACTTTGTCTGCCGATTCTTTCATCCATCTTGCATTGAGTCGGATGTTCTCCACGGACTGCTGCACAGTCCTTTCTGCAGCAGGGGTTGGGTTGGCCTTGAAGAATTCCTGCAAGAATAGCACATTGACTGATTGACTGATTGATTGATTTATTGATAGCGATGTCACAGTGAGGGACACCATAAATTGACTTGATCCTACATGAGGAATTGATGCCAGGTCTTCGGCGTGACAAGCAAATGCTTTCTCCACAAGGCTACCCCAGTGCCCCTCAAACAAGGAAACATTGCCGGTCACAAAGTGCGCCTAACACATTAAGGGAGATGGTTGTGAATACCATGCCATACTGGCTAAACCATTCTCCAGGGCTGTGACAGGAAGAAGACAGTGTACTCAAGTACCCTTGTCTCAAAACCCGACCCAAACTCAAGTACCCGCTACCCTATTTCAACAGTAGACATGTGTAGCTATACCATGAACAAAACAAAAGGAAATTTTGTTATTAAGTCACTGGTCACTGCCCATGTAAAAGAACCCTTTTCAAATGTGATTATGAATCTAGCTAAACAACACAAATTTCATTATTTTTGTTGGTTTAAAGTGGTTCTTTTTCTGGCACCATCTGAAGTCGATATGCATCCAAACATTGGACCACTTCTGATCCAGTCTGCAAAATGCATGTTTGAAAAGTGTAGATAGAAAAGGTTACCGTAAGCATAACAAAAACAACAGTTGTCCATCTCCCCGCTATCCTTGCAAGCTTATATTTGTAAATAAATAATCATCTATTTCTGTTAAAACAGTAGTCACGAGTCCTTACAAGAATGATACATCTGCCAAGTAACATGAAAAAGAATGAACGGTTTGACACCAAACAAACACCTTGCACTCAATTGTAGTTGTTGCCTTGGAAAGGGAAAAGATAAAAAATAATTAAATTCCTCAGCCCACTTGCCCAAAGCGATCTTAGCGCTAAGATGATTGTAACTCCCATACTTCAGCATAGGCTTACAACAGTCTTAGCGCTAAGATCGCTTTGTGCAAGTGGACCCAGAACATCAAAAGCGACCAGTCCAGCACTAGCTTGATGTGTATGCAAAGTCTCATGAAGACATATTAAACAGTTTAGAGCAGTCACCCGACCATCGAACCTTACCCGCATTGTAACCACGTGATTAAAACTTAATGATGTTTGTTGTTAGCAAAATGGATATTTCTTAAAAAACAAACTTGCAATTTTTGTCACAACTGAAGTAATATTCCTTATCGCCGGGATGGCTTGTCTTTATTTTAGAATTAGAACACATGCAGCTATCTTTGTTAATTAATAATCACGATATTTGGGATTTCTGTTACCGTGGCGATGACTTGTCACCACAGTGCCCCAAGCTACAGACTCACCTCAACCTCCTTAGCCATCTCCTCACTAGCAAAGTTTTGTGTTGAAGCCTGGAAAACAACATTACAGATTTGCAGACTATGGCATATCTCATACAGATATATGTCTCACTGAATCAGTGCGTTATAAAGAACCTCTACAAATACATCTGTTAAACAGACCAAAACAAGACCCCTACGAGGGACTTGCCCACAAAGTGATATTCCAAGGAATGCTGGATGTCCTGGAAAAACATTGTGCAGAAAAAATGATTAATCAGCTCCTCTTTTCAGAGAAACATAACTGATGCCGTGCAGTGGCTGAAAAAAGATTTTGGTCTACAAAAATCCAAGCCGCACCATCTATACTACTAAAAGGAAGTTAAGGTCCACCTGATTCTTTCATATCACTACAGTTAATCTGTCATGCCAAGACAGACGACCTGTAACTATAGCACTATGACAGAATCGGGTGTTCTTTAACTTCGTTTGAGAATGAGAAGTACATATTACATCGTTGGTCCCATAACGATCATTGATGAGACAGACAAGACTCAAATCGTAATAAGCATTCAACTTCTATTCTTCATACCTTTGGATTCATCAAAGAATATTTTGTCTTAACTGCTCTGATAGAAGTAAACATGATTGAGTGGGCGTTGGTTTAAACTGTTGATGACATGCATCAACCAAGTCAGCGAGTCTGACCACCCAATCCCATTAGTCGCCTCTTAAGACAAGCATGGGTTGCTGAAGACCAATTCTCACCCGGATCTTCACGAGTAGAGAAAGGATTGATGGAAGTGGTGAGTTGGGTTTAACGCTGCTTTGAAAAGTATACCAGTTATATATGGCATGTGACCTTGATGAGGGTGGAAAGCCCGAGGTGATGCAGATTGCGGACATTTACCACCGAGAAATATAATTGGGGTAGACCAGGATTCGAAGCAATGATCAAAGATTCCTGGCATGCCCAGAACGCCAACTCTGCAACGTTGTTTTGATGATTTCACTGGAATAAAATACTCTGAACATAACATTAACTGCTTTAACCAGCACTAACCTTCACAAGCCTTGTTAACAGGTGGCCATGATGTTTTTCACGTAGGTCTTTCCAATTCTCCTTAACAAAGTTCCAAGTGAGTTGTCTCCCCTTGGCTGAGCCGGTTGTCCCAGCTAGCACAAACACCTTGTCCTGGGCACGTACCTTGTCCTGAACATAACATTTCTTCATAAGATAACTTATCATGCCTCCATGTCAGAATGATGAGATCTGATTGGTCCACATGATCTCGATAACATTATGACTCCAACCGTAATCCCAGTATGTAAAAATGTTTTTACTCAAAAGAATTAAAATTGACAAATTAGGCGGTTAAAATTTTGCACACATATCTTTAATGAAAACACCTGACAAATCTAAACCACTTCATGTTTATCATATTATCGACATTATAGTGAGTGAGTGAGTGAGTTTGGTTTCACGCCGCTTTGAACAGTATTCCAGTTATATCACGGCATGTCAGCTTGATGTGGGAGGAAAACTCAAAGTGATGCAAACCCACAAGCATGGTATGATGCTGACAAACCTAGAAACGTAATCGTGGCGAATCGAACCCACAATCTTTGGTTTCTCAAGGGACGCAACTCTGCACAGCGAATTGCGGTCGCGTCAGATGACTGGGGCACGAGCCCTTGTGTGGTGATGAAATTCCTAGAAAAGTCATAAAGGTGAATCTGGCACTTCAGACACGAAAATAGGATTCTGGCTTACACAGGGGACATAACTCTGCACAGTGAATTTGCAGCACCTAAGACAACTGGGCAACCTGTGTCCCCAGGTTATAATCAATGTCTCAAATGTGACCAAGTATGATTCTTTATAACTTACACTGATAGCAAATTCATGGACACGTTTAATAAGTTCCTCTTCCTTGACTGCACCAAGAGCTCGTGCTATCCGTATCTTCTCCTCCTGCATGTCAGCCTTATCGTAGAGCTGAACAGAGACACAAATAACACATCAGACACACAGTGTCAACACACATCAGACACAGTGTCAACACACATCAGACACAGACAGAGTCAACACACATCAGACACAGTGTCAACACACATCAGACACAGCATCAACACAAATCAGACACACAGTGTCAACACACATCAGACATACAGTGTCAACACACATCAGACACACAGTGTCAACACACATCAGACACACATCAGACACAGTGTCAACACACATCAGACACACAGCATCAACACAAATCAGACACACAGTGTCAACACACATCAGACATACAGCATCAACACACATCAGACACACAGTGTCAACACACATCAGACATACAGTGTCAACACACATCAGACACACAGTGTCAACACACATCAGACATACAGTGTCAACACACATCAGACACACAGTGTCAACACACATCAGACACAGTGTCAACACATCAGACACACAGCATCAACACAAATCAGACACACAGTGTCAACACACATCAGACATACAGCATCAACACACATCAGACACACAGTGTCAACACACATCAGACATACAGTGTCAACACACATCAGACACACAGTGTCAACACACATCAGACATACAGTGTCAACACACATCAGACACAGACAGTGTCAACACACATCAGACACACAGTGTCAACACACATCAGACACAGCATCAACACAAATCAGACACAGTGTCAACACACATCAGACACAGCATCAACACACATCAGACACATTGTCAACACACAAAAGACACAGCATCAACACACATCAGACACAGTGTCAACACACATCACACACAGACAGTCAACACACATCAGACACAGTGTCAACACACATCAGACAGTGTCAACACACATCAGAAACACAGTGTCAACACACATCAGACACAAAGTGTCAACACATATCAGACACAGACAGAGTCAACACACATCAGACACACAGTGTCAACACATATCAGACACAGTGTCAACACACATCAGACACAGTGTCAACACACATCAGACACAGTGTCAACACACATCAGACACAGCATCAACACACATCAGACACAGTGTCAACACACATCAGACACAGCATCAACACACATCAGACACGGTGTCAACACACAAAAGACACAGCATCAACACACATCAGACACAGTGTCAACACACATCACACACAGACAGAGTCAACACACATCAGACACACAGTGTCAACACACATCAGACACACATCAGATACAGTGTCAACACACATCAGACACAGGGTCAACACACATCAGACAGTGTCAACACACATCAGACACACAGTGTCAACACACATCAGACACACAGTGTCAACACACATCAGACACACAGTGTCAACACATATCAGACACAGACAGAGTCAACACACATCAGACACACAGTGTCAACACATATCAGACACAGTGTCAACACACATCAGACACAGTGTCAACACACATCAGACACACAGTGTCAACACACATCAGACACAGACTGAATGTTTCAATACATGTAGCCATATTCATTCATTGATGCATGCATGCCAGACAAGATTTCCCGGGCAGTCTGTGTCAAAGCCTTTTGAGTCCACTTGGCTCTCAGCATCACCTTCAGTGGATACTTGTGTTATTACAGGGACCATTATTAGCTGAGCCCACTAGTCTGAACTCTGGCTTCGGACTAGTGGCCCATGTGATCGCTTCACCCACACTCATCCACTGCAAACAGGCATACAATCTCTCCCTCACTGCACATAGGGTTCATTATAAGATGTAGCATTGAGAAACCTGGATCAATGTCCATGTGGACATGGCTGAGGAATTACCTCCAACATCCTGTTGAAGTCGTCCCTTCTGTCTTGAGACAAAACTGTGATGAACACCTAAACGGAGGAATGATCCACATCATTTGACATCATTTGCAAAAGTGCAGCAACATACAGTGCAACTATTATGTTGGAAAGTACCGTCTGACATCGCCTGGATTAACAAGTTTACGGCTTGAGAAATCAGGGTTACAGAGTTATGTCCTAAGCACATATGCAGGTGTTACTATTTCAGACATTTATCTTCTAGTTTTTGAAAGGCATTTAGAAGTGATACACATGAGGAAGAGGTGAGGTGAAATTGGGTTTAACGTCGCGTCCAAGACATGCATGCACGTGTATGTGTGTGTGTGGCGGCTTGTACTAGGCCGGACTGATGCCGATTTATAGTGCTAGCTCACTGAGATACCATGCCGCAGTTTAACATGAATACCCCACTCAGACACAGTATACTGACTCCGAGCCGACCAGTCCTTGTTTTAGCCCCTTAATGCCGAGCGCCAGACAGGGTAACAACAAGTACAATCTTTTAACGTCTTTTTGTATGACGCGGCCCGGGATCGAACCCTGGACCTTCCGCTCTCCGGGCGGACGCTCTACCACAAGACCACGGAGGCGGACCACATGAGGAAGAGAAGTTATGGATGTCAACTTCTTTATTATGAGGAACACAACGTTTCGCAGTACAGTCCCGTTAATCCGACATGGTTGGTTGCATATGATTATGTGGGATTAACGAGTATGTCGGATAAACGAAACTAAGTATCAACGTTCGTGATCGAAAATCAGACAACTACAGGATAGTTAACGATACAAACACTAATTGTTCATGAATTGTTTATTGTTCAGCAAGTTTATCTCTACCATGTCTACAGCAGTTGTTATATAAAGCTACCAGCCAACTCATCTCGCATCAAAACACGGGCTGTGTACTCGCGGGCAGATGACCATGGATTACACAGATCACTTTGTCGGATTAACGAGACTGATTAATAAGTAATTTCAGTAATTCATTGCAGATTAGGTGTGTCGGAGTCCTTTGGATTAACGGATCTAAATAGCACTGAGTTAATCGGTTCCCATCATTAGTGTCGGATAAAGCCGATTGTGGGATTAACGAGTGTGGGATTAACGAGTGTGGGATTAACGAGACTTGCCTGTATATACTTACTCCTCCATCAGTTGGGTGATAAGCAGTGGACAAAAGGTGGCCTACACTGAACTTATCACTGATTAGTAATAGGCAATGGCTACCTGGCTTCCATATGTCCATTGTTATTTCCATTCTATTTCGGGGCGGTCAGGTAGCCTAGTGGTTAAAGCGTTCGCTCGTCACGCCAAAGACCCAGGGTTCAATTCCCAACATGGGTACAATGTGTGAAGCCCATATCTGGTGTCCCCCGCCGTGATATTACTGGAATATTGCTAAAAGCGGCGTAAAACCATACTCACTCACTCCATTCTATTTCTAGCAGTGCTAATAAACCCCGGCCTCCTGTTTGCCAATTACCTATATCCAATCAGTGATCAGTTAAGTGTTGCTTCCTTTTATCCACCTACCAGCGCCAATTATCTGTTGGCTCCCTTGTTAAGTTTCCACCTTTGTTGTCTTATTACCTTTGTTGTTCTTACAGGTACATATGTATGTTCTCTGCCTTATAGCAGTGTTTCACCTCATGAAGGTGTAAGTATATACTCTGAAACGCAGTGTTCCTCATAATGAAGATGTTGACATCCATCAATTCTCTTCCTTTGTTTTCTTCTAGACAGCAGGTTTCTGGACAAATGAGGTCTGGCTTACATGTGTTTGAGTGTATTATTATTATGTTACCATGGTTACAGGTATACATTCAAAGACTGATGACTGTAACGTTAAACAACAACTGAAATGCATTAATAAAACATCTCTTAATTTTGACTGATAAAAGGATGAACCAGGTATCGATCTAACATCAAGTATTTTTATGAACTAGCAAAGTCATGTCCTCCAAGTCATGTCCTCCTCATACACTCACCGGAGCCCTCAGATCAGCTGGGATGACATTATCTCCCTTGTGGTGACTCTCAAACCTCTTCCTGCTCTCCATGACCGTTGATTCGTCACCATAACGACCCATCTTGGTCAGGATGAGATCTCGCAACATGGCTGTCAGCTGGCCTGAGACAAGAATTGACACAAACTTCACAATACCTACATGTTTACAGAGGCATAAATATTCTCCAAGGAGGCAGACACATGTAACTGGTAACGGTAACAGTAACGGTAACGGTAACTGTTACTATATTTCCTCCTGTCAAAGACAGCCTTGTTCTCTTTATTAGACATTTCCAACGCCCGAACACTATATTCAACATGCATCCACATACTTTCCCCCTCCTTCTTGTCCCAGCCCACTGTCTTGGCCACCTGGGAGAAGAGGTCGCGGGCGAAGCCCTTGTAGAGATCGTAGCAGTCCGTGTACTGGAGGAGGACGGCCATGCTGGACAGGTTAAGGGCAAGGTCGTTCCACACGGTGTAGTTGTCCTCTTTGATGAATGCTTCGGCCACCTTCAACACGTCCTCTGATGCCGCCATACCAGCTCGGGCCTGAGAGAATGAACACCAATAATGAAGACATACCTGGATCTACTTGTAGCAGTGCAGGGTTCTTGTCATTATACCCCATCCTACATAAATATATTGAATAAATCTACATGTAGCAATGATACTTCTTAACTTCAGGGGCGGTCGGGTAGCCTAGTGGTTAAAGTGTTCGCTCGTCACGCATAAGACCCGGGTTCGATTCCCGACATGGGTACAATGTGTGAAGCCCATTTCTGGTGTCCCCCGCCGTGATATTGCTGGAATATTGCTAAAAGCGGCGTAAAACCATACTCACTCACTCACTCACTCTTAACTTCAGTCACATCCCTCTTAAGATATTGATAGAGAATAGCATGTTCCTTATAGTGTATGAGAGGTTCCTTCCTGACATGTATTATTGGTAGAGGACCCAGCGTTCTCCAGCATTATCACATCCATTGCTTCTCATTGTATTTATACTGACCAGTGCAAATAGATCATTCTGAAGTCCGAGTCTGTCTCTGGGAGGGAGGGATCGGTCCTTGACGGCCGGGATCAACGCTGCCAGCATCTCTGTGGTGTACTGGACTCTGTAGACACCCACTGTGTTGGTGTTGACCTGTCACAAGCAGATACCACCCATGTACCATCTGTGTACCATTTGAGTATCATTTATGTACCACCCATGTACCATCTGTGTTTCATCTATGTACCACCAATGTACCATATGTGTATCATCTATGTACCACCCATGTACCATCTGTGTTTCATCTATGTACCACCAATGTATCATCTCTGTACCACCCATGTATCATCTGTGTACCACCCATGTATCATCTGTGTACCACCCATGAACCATCTGTGTATCATCCATGTACCACTAATGTGCCATCTGTGTATCATCCATGTATCATCTGTGCACATCTATGTACCACCCACGTACCATCTGTGCACCATCTATGTACCATCTATACATTACCCATGTATCACATATGTATCACCAATGTATCATTTACATACCCTATAGATGCCCATAGTGTTGGTGTTGAACTATCACATGGATATACTGCTGATTTACCATCTGTGTACCATGTATCACCTATATACCATTAATGTATCACACATGTACCATTAATGTATCACACATGTACCATTAATGTATCACACATGTACCAATAATGTATTACTCATGTACCATTTACGTATCACACATGAACCATTAATGTATTACCTATGTACCCTATAGGAGCCCAGTGTTGGTGTTAAACTGTCACAAGGAGATAACACCAATGTTCCACCTGTGTACTATGTACAACATAGGTACCATTTATGTACCACATGTATACTATTTATGAATCACCCATATACGTGGCGGCAAATGTTCCTGTGCACAGCACACAGGTGACAAATAATGTTGGTAGCGGAGAGTCCTTGGATCGGTGACGATTTTTGGCAGTTGGACTTCTCAGAGTTTCTAGGGTTTCGGTCCTGCCCCTCACTGAATCACATGCAACACCCAGCAGTGAATGGGTACCCAGTAGGATGAGATGGCAATGTGGTTGTTAACCTTTTCTTTTCTTTTTATTTGGACTCATTTATTTCACACTAGGTGTTTGGGTTGTTGAAGATCTATTCTAACCCAGATCTTCAAGGGTGGCATTAATGTACCACCCATTTATGTACCACCTGTGTACCAAATATGTAAAGCCTCTGATAAACAGAACAGGGAAAAAATTCTTAATGACTGAAATAACACAACTGAGTTGATTTCTATCAAAATCAACACAAAAGACTACTTTTTGTCTTAAAATTCATTCTGACCTTGACCCAGTCTCCAGCCTTGACATTGTCCAGTGTGACCTCTGAACTCTGTCCCTCCAGCATGATGGTCTTGACAGGGGTGGAGGGGCTGCCGGCGGTGGAGATGCTGAGGGGCACCCGCCAACAGGACTTGTCGTCTGGCAACGTGATGAGAAACAGACATTTAAAAATGTGAAACTCCTGGCATCTCAACAAATGAAATCAGGCTTTTTTAAATGAAAAAATCCTGGATATAATACGAAATAATCAACGAATTTGAAACATTATTAAATCATTCAATTTGAAATGATTAATCCACTGACATATCTTGACATGACAGACAAAATCAACAAATCCCTACGAGCTAGCCGATGTCTTACTGTCAACATTACACCTGCAGAACAAGGTATCATCCCTTATCAAAGAACCAAAGAAAAACATATACTGAACCAAAAAAAGAGTTACCAGAAGATGGCAAATCCCCCCACAATAGCAAAAAGCACCACTTCAGCCCCTGGTTAATACATGTACCACAGTTAAATCTTCAATGGTTTTCAAGTTATGCTCCAGAAACGAAATACGGACGGACAGACAGATGATGACTGTATCCCCCTGCATTATATGCTGGGGGGATAAAAAGTTAAGCATCGTGTATATTTTGGGGATATTATTATGAAATTGTGTGCTCAGACTTCACGACAAAAAAAAATCCCCAAATATATTCTAATCCCTAACTCTTTTGTTCTTTATGCAAACTGACACATTGAACATTAAATATTGATGTCCTTAAGAAAAGCATATCTATTTGACCATTACCTTTAGGTAGGTTACCATCAGCACAGAACTTCTCCTGCGAGACTGTGAGAACACACTTGTCTCCATCCTGTCTTTCACTCACCTGGCAAGAAAAGCACTGCAGTAAACTATGTATATAACGAACACGCTTATAACGAACTGACGGATATAAGAAACTTATTTGTGGGGTCATGCTTGCTGTAAAAGGCAACTATGCTCATCGTAAGAGGCGACTAACGGGATCGGGTGGTCAAGCTCACTGACTTGGTTGATGCATTTCATTGTATCCTAATTGTGTGGATAGACGCTCATGATGTTGATCACTGGATTGTCTTGTCCAGACTTGATTATTTACAGACCGCCACATAGCTGGAATATTGCTGAGTGCGGCATTAAACAAACAAAACAAACAAAACAAACAAACAAACAAACAAACTCAATCTTGTCACCACCCTGACTCACCTTGATGACAGGGAAGCCCATCTGCTTGGTCCAGGTGTCCATCATCTTGGCCACTGGTTTGCCGCTGGCTTCTCCCAGGGACGCCCACAGGTCCTCGGACTCCGTGTTCTGGTAGGAGTGCTTCGTTAGGTACTTGTTCATGCCTTTACGGAAGTCCTGTGAAACATACCTCACTCTTTACACTGGGAACCATCATCAGATTCCTCAGAACAATTCAGTAGTCTCGGACTTGCGGACCAGTGAGTAAGAGACCACCATGTGTTTGGGTGACTGCTTAAGGGATCAGGTGGTGAGGCTCAGTGACTTGGTTGATGCCATGGCAACATCATGGATAATTGCTCATAATATCAATCACTGGATTGTCTGGTCCAGACTTGATTATTTACAGACTGCCGTCACGCGGTCATATAGCTGTAATATTGCTGAGTGCGGCACTAAACAACAAATAAACAAACATGACAGATCTCAACTGGCCTCATCCCCACACAAATATACAAACATGATAGATCTCAACTGACCTCGTCCCCACACAAATAAACAAACATGACAGATCTCAACTGACCTCGTCCCCACACAAATATACAAACATGACAGATCTCAACTGGCCTCGTCCCCACACAAATAAACAAACATGACAGATCTCAACTGGCCTTGTCCCCACACAAATAAACAAACATGGCAGATCTCAACTAACCTCCTCCCCACACAAATATACAAACATGACAGATCTCAACTGACCTCGTCCCCACACAAATAAACAAATATGACAGATCTCAACTGACCTTGTCCCCACACAAATAAACAAACATGACAGATCTCAACTGACCTCGTCCCCACACAAATAAACAAACATGACAGATCTCAACTGACCTCATCCCCACACAAATAAACAAATATGACCGATATCAACTGACCTCGTCCCCACACAAATAAACAAACATGACAGATCTCAACTGACCTCATCCCCACACAAATAAACAAATATGACAGATCTCAACTGTCCCCACACAAATAAACAAACATGACAGATCTCAACTGACCTCGTCCCCACACAAATAAACAAACATGACAGATCTCAACTGACCTCGTCCCCACACAAATAAACAAACATGACAGATCTCAACTGACCTCGTCCCAACACAAATAAACAAACATGACCGATATCAACTGACCTCGTCCCCACACAAATAAACAAACATGACCGATATCAACTGACCTCGTCCCCACACAAATAAACAAACATGACCGATATCAAGTGACCTCGTCCCCACACAAATAAACAAACATGACCGATATCGACTGACCATGTCCCCACACAAATAAACAAACATGACAGATCTCAACTGACCTCGTCCCCACACAAATAAACAAAACATGACAGATCTCAACTGACCTCGTCCCCACACAAATATACAAATATGGCAGATCTCAACTGACCTCATCCCCACACAAATAAACAAATATGACAGATCTCAACTGACCTCGTCCCCCAATAAATAAACAAACATGACAGATCTCAACTGACCTTGTCCCCCAATAAATAAACAAACATGGCAGATCTCAACTGACCTCGTCCCCACACAAATAAACAAATATGACAGATCTCAACTGACCTCGTCCCCCAATAAAAAAACAAACATGACAGATCTCAACTGACCTCGTCCACACACAAATAAACAAATATGACAGATCTCAACTGACCTCGTCCCCCAATAAATAAACAAATATGACAGATCTCAACTGACCTCGTCCCCACACAAATAAACAAACATGACCGATATCGACTGACCATGTCCCCACACAAATAAACAAATATGACCGATATCAACTGACCTCGTCCCCACACAAATAAACAAACATGACAGATCTCAACTGACCTCATCCCCACACAAATAAACAAATATGACAGATCTCAACTGTCCCCACACAAATAAACAAACATGACAGATCTCAACTGACCTCGTCCCCACACAAATAAACAAACATGACAGATCTCAACTGACCTCGTCCCCACACAAATAAACAAACATGACAGATCTCAACTGACCTCGTCCCAACACAAATAAACAAACATGACCGATATCAACTGACCTCGTCCCCACACAAATAAACAAACATGACCGATATCAACTGACCTCGTCCCCACACAAATAAACAAACATGACCGATATCAAGTGACCTCGTCCCCACACAAATAAACAAACATGACCGATATCGACTGACCATGTCCCCACACAAATAAACAAACATGACCGATCTCAACTGACCTCGTCCCCACACAAATAAACAAACATGACAGATCTCAACTGACCTCGTCCCCACACAAATATACAAATATGGCAGATCTCAACTGACCTCATCCCCACACAAATAAACAAATATGACAGATCTCAACTGACCTCGTCCCCCAATAAATAAACAAACATGACAGATCTCAACTGACCTTGTCCCCCAATAAATAAACAAACATGGCAGATCTCAACTGACCTCGTCCCCACACAAATAAACAAATATGACAGATCTCAACTGACCTCGTCCCCCAATAAAAAAACAAACATGACAGATCTCAACTGACCTCGTCCACACACAAATAAACAAATATGACAGATCTCAACTGACCTCGTCCCCCAATAAATAAACAAATATGACAGATCTCAACTGACCTCGTCCCCACACAAATAAACAAACATGACAGATCTCAACTGACCTCGTCCCCACACAAATAAACAAACATGATAGATCTCAACTGGCCTCGTCCCCACACAAATAAACAAACATGACAGATCTCAACTGACCTCGTCCCCACACAAATAAACAAATATGACAGATCTCAACTGGCCTCGTCCCCACACAAATAAACAAAGATGACAGATCTCAACAGGCCTCGTCCCCACACAAATAAACAAACATGGCAGATCTCAACTGGCCTCGTCCCCACACAAATAAACAAACATGACCGATCTCAACTGACCTCATCCCCCAGGTAGTCGTGCAGCATCCTGATGACAGAGGCTCCCTTGCAGTAGGAGATGGCATCGAAGATCTCGTCCACCTCTGATGGATGGCCCACAGGGACCTGCATGATGACACCAAATATATCAACCTGTTCCCCAGTGTATCGTGGCTCTGTGTCGTAAGCCTAGGTTTATGTATGGGAATTACAATCGTTTTAGCACTACAAACACTTTGTGGAACAGGATCCAGTTCAGTTGATCAGCATCATTAAATTAGATTTTACAGCAAACAAACCAAATTTTGGAAGACTTTGCTGGTCAATTGGCCGGATCCTACTTCTCCTTAAACTTAAGAGCACTTCCATTCTCATGCCACTTCCTGTTTTGGAGGGGCAGTCGGGTAGTCTAGTGGTTAAAGCGTTAGCTCGTCACGCCGAAAACCCGGGTTCGATTTCCGACATGGGTACAATGTGTGAAGCCCATTTCTGGTGTCCCTCGCCGTGATATTGCTGGAATATTGCTAAAAGCGGCGTAAAACCATACTCACTCACTCACTCCTGTTTTGGAATACATCAAGAATTATAAATCTACATGTGACTCCGAAATAAGCAAATACTGTAATTCAAATTAAATATTGAAATCATTTAACCACTGCGAGCAAAATAACCATGTATCAAGTACACAATTTAAATGTAACCTTGACAGTGATCTTGACCATGTCTTGGATTAGACAAACAAATGAATATTAATATCATCATCATCATCATCATCATCATCATCACCCCGTACCTCAATAGGGTGACTGGTGTGAAGGGCGTCCAGCTCCAGGGCCCGGCCCAGATCCATGTTGACAAACTGTGTCCAGATGTCATACTCAGGGAAACACTCGTCCACACACAGGTACTCGATCCATGATGCAAAACCCTCCTTCAGCCACAAGTTGGTCCACCATTCCTACACATATCAACTATTTCATATCAATTTATACATTGGTCGTTTTGAAAGTGTTGCTTTCATAACAAACGACACACACTAAACAGTTCAGGCAACATTGTCTTCACCACTGGTCTACATTATCTGTGACATTACCACATGTGGGGGTTTCCATTGACTATTTACTGACTTTCCAGGTACCCGACCCTCTATTACCCGACCCTATCCGGGTGCCTGACACCCTATTACTCAACCCTACCAAGGTACCCGACACCCAATTACTCAGCACGCACGGACACATGCAGACACAAACACACGCACGCAATCATGCATGCGTGCACACATTCAGACACAAACACATGCACACATCCACTCACACTCACAAACATGGATACACAAACACACACACACACACATCAAACGCACACATGCACTCTCGTGCACGCACACACAGACACTCACGCACACATGGATACACACATGCAGACACAAACACATGCCCACACAAGCACCCATACACACATCAAACGCACACACATGCACACATGCACGCACGCACGCACGCACGCACACACACACACGCACACACACACACACAACCTCATGCACAACCTCATGCACATACACATACACATACATATACACACACACATACACACACACATACACACACACATACCATAGTGACCAGGTTACCAAACCACATGTGAGCCAGCTCATGTCCGACAATCAGGGCCACATGTTGTTTGGCAGTGGCCGAGCTGTTGGTGGGATCTACCAGCAGGGCCGTCTCTCTGTACGTCACCAGGGCCCAGTTCTCCATGGCACCTGTAGGACACAACAAACATATAGCAATGGAGGACAACAAGAGCCACCCACTGCTTCACCCTGGCCGAGGTGTTGGCGGGATCTACCAGCAGGGCCGTCTCTCTGTACGTCACCAGGGCCCAGTTCTCCATGGCACCTGTAGGACACAACAAACATATAGCAATGGAGGACAACAAGAGCCACCCACTGCTTCACCCTGACTAGCTGTTGGCGGGATCTACCAGCAGGACCGTCTCTCTGTACGTCACCAGGCCCCAGTTCTCCATGGCACCTGTAGGACACAACAAACATATAGCAATGGTGGACAACAAGACCCACCCACTGCTTCACCCTGGGCGGGCTGTTGGCGGGATCTACCAGCAGGACCGTCTCTCTGTACGTCACCAGGCCCCAGTTCTCCATGGCACCTGTAGGACACAACAAACATATAGCAATGGAGGACAACAAGAGCCACCCACTGCTTCACCCTGGCCGAGCTGTTGGCGGGATCTACCAGCAGGACCGTCTCTCTGTACGTCACCAGGCCCCAGTTCTCCATGGCACCTGTAGGACACAACAAACATATAGCAATGGTGGACAACAAGAGCCACCCACTGCTTCACCCTGGGCGGGCTGTTGGCGGGATCTACCAGCAGGACCGTCTCTCTGTACGTCACCAGGCCCCAGTTCTCCATGGCACCTGTAGGACACAACAAACATATAGCAATGGAGGACAACAAGAGCCACCCACTGCTTCACCCTGGCCAAGGTGTTGGCGGGATCTCCCAGCAGGGCCATCTCTCTGTACGTCACCAGGCCCCAGTTCTCCATGGCACCTGTAGGACACAACAAACATATAGCAATGGAGGACAACAAGAGCCACCCACTGCTTCACCCTGGCCGAGCTGTTGGCGGGATCTCCCAGCAGGGCCATCTCTCTGTACGTCACCAGGCCCCAGTTCTCCATGGCACCTGTAGGACACAACAAACATATAGCAATGGAGGACAACAAGAGCCACCCACTGCTTCACCCTGGCCGAGGTGTTGGTGGGATCTCTCTGTACGTCACCAGGCCCAAGTTCTCAGGACACAACAAACATCAAGTGTTCAGGGCGAGTTTCACAAGTCCATCGCAGTGCTGTTGTAACTTCCATACCTTAACATGAGTTTCATGGACCATATATGTCTGGAGTTAGTGAGTGTGTTGTGTTTAACGCCGCTTTGAACAGTATTCCAGTTATATCGCAGCGTGTCAGCTTAATGTGTGAGGAAAGCCGGAAGTGATGCAGGTCTCAGACGTTTATCACTACGGTGAAACCTTGAGCATGGGGTATGGTACTAACACACCAAGTCTGGGAGAACAGGGATGCAACTCTGCAAAGCAAATTGAGTTGCCTTAGATGACTGGGCCACCCCTGACCCTTACCTTAACATAGACTTAGGGGAGTTGTTGCACTGCAGTCACATGTGAACTGGGCCCAAACTTAAAGAAAGTTCTCCTATGTTGAAATAAAAGAAAATGCATGGACAGCATTAAAATCTGCTCATGTTGAGTTGAAGGTAATTGGTATACTTGTGTTCCACCTGTATACAGTGAGCCCTTAGTAATATGGATGATACAGTTTCCAGGGGCTTTATGCAGGATACAACCTACAAGCAGACCTGTCAACCCCTCATCATGACAATGTGGGAGATTTGCCTTCAAAATGTGGGAGATTTGACTCCAAAGGGGGAGATTATTAAAAAAGGGCAATAACACTTGACGAAGATAATATACAAGTTTAATTATAGCTCAGATTAAGCCATCATATCACATCATATCACACTGGATAGTGGTCATTTAACAAATAAAAGAAACAATAGCAAAATTCCATATGGCAGTGCTCAAATAAACATTTAACTTTCTCAAATGTGCTGTGAATTGTACACTTTTGTAGCACATTTAGCTTTGCACAAGGTGTCTTTGCTGAATGTACAGCTGTAGCATGGATCTTTGCAGTTCACTTTGCAACTCAGCAGAGCACAGACCGTGGAATTATCCAGTTCTGATCTGCCCTCTGTCTTTATTTTCTTGACCATGGAAAACAATCTCTCTGTGTCAGCATTTGAATTTGGAATGAGACAGAGCTTGATGGCCAGGGCAGACAGATACTTGAATCTTCTGGTGCCATCCAGAGTCTTCTGTTTCTGCAGCTTAATCCAGTACTGCTCTGGCTTAAGTGTACTTGAAGGCAGCTCCTCTGGTGGTGTCAGGCTGTACTCCAGGAACTCTTCTGTCAGTTCATCTGTTAACGGAAATGCTATGGCAGAAGCACAGGCCAGGACTGAAACATTAGGAACACATGCATATTATATAAATATATATATAAATCATGTAATATTTAAATTACATATGCATTGTCAAATAATTATGAAAATTAATAGATGAAATATTTATTGTACATTGCTATACCTGAGTCTGATGTGAAAGCCTGCTTTTTTTCAGGGTCTGGGTTGATCCATCCAATATGTTTCAGGACTTCATTCCCAAAAGGGAATTTCTTCAACATTGTGACAACAGTTTCCTGGTAGAAGAGCCTGATGTTTCTGAAATAAAGAGGTTGCACTAATTAGTTTTTAATACACATTTTATGTGATATAATGCAGATATAATAACATATGCTCCATATTTCAGAATATTAAAAAATAATGAACTTACTTCATGAACCTGTTGACCAGATCAAGATCATCCAATCTGGAAATGAACTCCCTTGTTCTAATGCCTACTGCCATGATGCTGTCAGGAAGCTGGTTGTCCTTTTCAGTGAAGGGGACTTCTGTTAGTGGGTGTGTCTTTATGATGTCAATCTTGACAAACTTCGCCAGATACTTCCTGAGAAGCTTATGCATTTCAGTGTACATGAAGCACACCTTGACTTCATCAGCCTGAAATGGATAATAAATTTTCAGCTAATAAATGACATTAAGAAAATTAATTAAATTACTGTCAATGATTACCCACCTCATCCAGTTATATTATCACATATTTCATCTTACCAATATCACTTTACAGGGATATACACATTATTTATTATAAAAGAAATGTACCTGGAATGTTGTGTTGAATTCGTTCAGTGGTGGCAGAATGAACTCCATGAAGAGGAAGTACAGCTTCATCTCATCATTGTTAAGGTAGCTGCTGCAGGTCTTTACCCTTCCAGGTTTCTCAACATCTTCATGGCTAGTGAAGTATGATTTAAGTGCTGGCCACTGCTCAAGGGTCCGCTTGACACATCTCTCCAAGCTGAGCCATCTCGTCTGAACGTGTTTCAGGATCCTGTCTGGCTCCACATCACAGAACTCCTGAAAGGACTTGTAGAGCTCTGTCCTCTTTGCACTACAAACAATAAAACACACTGCAATAATATTCATCCAATATTTGATGACAATGTGTTAATGTCTTAACGATTTAATACACATCAATGATTTATGAAAGTTGATGTTTAACAAGAATAGTGTATCATAAGCAAGTATAGTACCTTAGGCGAAAATGAAAGTGAATCTCAATAAGCATGTGGTCCAGAGAGAGTGGTAGCTTCTTGAGACCAGACTTTATCACAAGGTTTGCCAGGTGGCAAATACAGCCAAGGTCGAAAACTGCTGGCTGCCTCTCCCTAATCCTTGACAGAACAGAGTTGTGTCGTCCAATCATCACACTTGCATTGTCTGAACAGTAGGCTATCAGGTGCTTCCAATCAAGACCACGGTCTCTGTAAGTAGATTAGCATGATTAGGGTGGCAATTAGTAGCAGGTGTCATTCAATTGGGATTAACTCACAATCAAAGCAAAGTCCAAACTAATTTCAAAACAAACATTTGGCCATGATCAGTTTCTCCTCATTGTTTGTTATTTATAGAACACAAAAGCAGTTTACAATAACAACTTAATTATGCCAACACACAACGTTTATAAATGTTATAGAAATTTTATTAAGAAAACAAAAATATATTTTAAAACAACAATTTAGAATCACATATCATTGAAACGTATCAATATTAGTGTGAAAACAGTATTATCCTTTTTAATTACTTGCAGGTGTTTTAACATATTCATGGTTTTAAAAATAAATTATGGATGAATTATATAATTTGGTTATAAATCTTTTAAAAAAAATTTAAATACTTACACGAAACACTTGTCAATGGCCTCGAAAAGATTCGCTGCTGATGACAGATTACACACAGGCATATCCAGGAACTTCGTGACGATTTCTTCCCGATTGTCATCCACACACTTGACAAGAATTGCCAAGTTCTTATTGTCGCCGCGATCATTAGATTCATCCACAAGCAAACTGAACGATCCTTGGCACATATCCGTAACTTCAGTGTCAAATGTGGGGGCAAGGGCATTCTTTACGATCATGGTCGTTTTTGTCTTTCCGCACTTGAATTGTTTCGCAATATCGCTGTCTGGAAACATCTTCGGTACCATCTTGGTAAAGTGGTCGGCGAAACTAAATGACAAGTTGTGTTCTGTGACCATCATAGCAAACAAGGTTTCTGATTCAACCACTTTGGATGCGGCTGGGTTTTCCACACGCGTGAAGGACGTTATCGGTTGAAAGGATGAAATCTCCTTCGCAACCTGACAATGCTTTTCGCTCTTAATATGTCGCTTCACGTCATAATATCCTCCAGAATAAATGTTGATGTAAACTTTGCAAAGCGTACACAGGACTTCTGACTCACGTTTCCCTCGAGCAAGGAACGGATGGTCTTTCTTCCAACTTTCTTGAAACTTGCAGGCGTATTTCTTCTTTTTCAAAGTCGATCCAGGTGTTGTATCCGCGGGGCGTTTGGTTGCCATAATTAAGACAATACGAATTTCTAAACGAAACGCCATTATAAAGCACACGTGTGTTTGTTTGGCAATAAACACTGAAAAGCTTTCGGTAATCATCGGGTGTTACGAAAAGTTCCGAGTGTTACACGGAGAAAGGCGATTGCATTCAAATTTAATCGGAAAACTTACTCGTAGATTTCCGTAATCGTCAACTTCCTGTTTTTTGTTTTTACTCGCGGGACAATGGAGGCACATTCTAAATTATTGAAAAATGCTGTTTTGCGGGAGAAATCGTCTCTAATGCGGGAGACTAGGAGATTTCATCGAATTGCGGGAGTCTCCCGCAAAATGCGGGAGGGTTGACAGGTCTGCCTACAAGCAAGGTACACTGATTGTAAACACATCTCCTTCCACAATATCTTCCAAGCATGTGGTGAAATGGGGTTTAATGTCGCGTTCAAGAATGTTGCACTTATATAGCGATGTGCATACAGGTGTGTGTGTGTGTGTCTGCTTGTACTAGTCTGGACTAATGCCGATCTTATAGTGCTGAGATATCAGTCACAGTTTAACATGAATATCCCACTCAGACACAGCATACTGACTCCCAGCCGACCAGTCCTTGTGTTTTGCCCATAAGCCAAGTACCATCTTTTGACATCTTTTGGTATGATGCGACCGGGGATCAAACCCTGGACCTTCCGGGCAGATGCTCTATCACTAGACCATGAAGGCGGTCTGTCTTATCAATAAATCTTGTCAGGTGTGGCAGGGTTTGGACGTGCGCTGGATCAATTAAGTTTCACTTTTATGCTCAGTTCCTGGGCTAGGCCCATTCAAGCCCTCACATCTCCATGGATCGATACAATTGCATTTAGCTTGTCTGCTGTACACTAGAGAGCAGGTTGTTTTGCTGCAGCAGGCTAGGAGTTATCTCCCTTTGCTCAGTCCAGCACATGTCTCCGCCTTCCACAACTTGGCCTTTTTTATCAAGAAAGGCCAATTATGACCTCTTGAGGATAAAATAATGACAAAAGAGAAAATCTACACCCTATTTCTCTTACCGATAAGAAAGTCTGCAAGAGCAATAAGATCCATCTTGGGTAATCCGTACGGAATGCCAAAGTATTCTTTGTAGAAGGGCAGGGTCTTCACAGCAACCTTTCAATTGGGAAATTAAATCAACTTCAGATCTAACTGTTTCAGATGAAATAAACAAATCATTAGCACAAGTTTCTTTTAATACAAAGCTATTTTAATATCAACGAAAGGATTTTGTTGTGATAATGTGGCCTTTCATTAGATATAACATCTGTGAAATTAGTGACAAATACAATGGAAGCATCAAAATTAGCTAATTCCCACATATTGGTTTGGTTGTTATGGCAACCAGACATCTTAGATGTGCAGTGTCAGAAACAATTGGACTGACATCATTCATTGTTCATGACAAAGGATCTTATGTGACATTGTCCCAACAAAAATTGAATGCACAGAATGTCTTTGTGTTACTGGCAAATCCTGATTTGTCTACATTTTCTAAAAACAACTTCAAGACCTTATGTAGTACATAGTATAACTGAATTGCAACACAGAATAACTTGTATATCTTATCGTAGTGCCATTTAAAATCAGTAATATCGAAATATTTTTTACATTTGTATACTTATCCTGCATTACTCCTTAATGCATCTACTGCTTACCTTTGACAAAGAGACAGCGCCTGGTGATGGTCCTAGATAAAAAAAGGTTGTTTTCACTTTCAGTCTACTTTTCTAAGGACCCATCGCAGCTGTCATGTGACCATCCGTCGTGATATCACATCTGGTCACATAAATGCTTGTCACCCGTGCTAAAATGTTCTGAAGCTAAAGCTACAGCAGGTCTGCGATGGTGGGCCCTTAGAGACATAGTAATGCAGGATATGTATACAAATGTAAAAAACCATTAGATTTTACTAATTTTTTTACTTATCCTGCATTATTCCTTAATGCATCTGTATCAGATGGTACGGCAGTAGGCATACGTTCAGATGTAATCCTCTATATGTATAAAAACACATGCGACAAACGTGTTTTACTCGTTCAATCTTATCCATCAGAGAGACACAAGGAATGAGGATAAGTTCACTTAAACAACAGTAAGAAGAAGATGCTACCGAGCCAAGGGTAAAAAAGCCTCATAATACCCCCTGTTAAGAAAAACACTGTTCATTATTTGCGTCGGGGGTTGGTCACCTGGTGGGCTATAACCATAGGCCAAAGTTATGAATGCCTTCGACGTCTTCAAGTGCCACATCTCTTAGATAATGGCATGGGAAGACAGTGTCAGACCTCCAAAAACATCCTTCCATGATTGCTCTAATTAAACAGTTGCAATGTAGAGCCATGGTTGATGCGAGCGCCCTGATCTCTTAAGGATTATTTGCTCGCGAAGGATAAAAATTAGCGATTTTGTGTGCCTGAAGGATGACTGTACGTAACCATAGTGATATAGTGTTGCTAGTGACTCCGTCGTTGATGTCTGGGATACAGGAATGAACAACAGTTTCTTCGTGCAATGCCTAGTTTTGGAGCAGCGGATGAAAACTCGTAGTGTGCGTACAGGGCACAAGAGGAGTTCTTCCTCATCTTCGACCCCACACAATCGTAGAGATTGGTGGAATGGTGAAGGACTCTTCACAATAAAATCCCAGCACAGCCCAAGGTGAACTGCTCCCTGCGAACCATGCTCAAAAGGGACCCGGTGAATGTTGTCTCACTAACCCACGCCGGTCTTCTTGGTAAGGTTGAAAAAGGATGATGCATTGAGGGGCTCTAAAGGGGGCCTGCAATAACGCCAAAGTACCACATTTAAATCCCAAGCAGGGGGACGGAAATGGACCTTCTGATCCTCAAGCCTGAAAGAGTGTAGGAGGGCCTGTAGTTCTGGAACTTTGGTCATTTTGACATCTTGAGAAAGGCCAACACTGAATTAAGCGTTACCAAGTACGTAGTAACGATACTGCCTTTCAAGTGTTGTTTTGTACGCAAGTGTAGGAGGTACTCAGCTAAGACTTTAGGTGACACTGTAGTGGGATCTTGATTTATCACCTTTTTCACAAAAGGTTTCAAGCGATCGCCATTTGTTGCTGCATAAACACCCCCCCCCCCCCGTTCGAAGGACAGTGTGCAAAAGGAATGGCCTAAGCTGCCAGCACTCTTTTAAGACAAACCAAACGTGCAGATGAAATCTGCCTGGCATTGGCTGAGGTAGTTTGCTGTGAGGGTGAATGAGTAGGTTCGCCCAATCTGGGAGGGGTAGTGAATTGCGGTCTACAAACCCCACCCCCTTACCGGCCATCAGGGCACAACGAAAATCAGAGTGAGGCTCTTGGTTGCTTTTATTTTGTGTATCACCCTGGGAAGTAGTACAGGAAGTGGAAAAGCGTACACTTTTAGCCCTTCCCAGGGGATGCTGAATCCGCCCAAGCCTGCGGATCCGGAATCGGTGAGACATATGTCATAAATTGGTGGTGAAGATGTGTTGTGAAAAGGTTGATATTTTTGTGGGTGAAGCTTCCACTCCTTTGGAGCCACCTTGTCTGGGCAGGATAGAGTGTCCACCAGAATTTCCCAACATCCTGGGACGTGCTGGACTAGGAATTGTAGTCCTAGGCGATCCACTAGATGAAAGAACCAGAACGTCTGTTGAAGTAAGGAGTGAGAGTGCGTAGTCCCCTGATTGCGCAGGCACCACCGTGCTGTTGTTGGTGGAGATTGCAGCCACATGGAAGATAAGACAAGGTCTTTTCATGTGGAAAAAATACATATTATTACACAAATGTGAGCATAATAATAAGATAAGAATCTCAGAAGAAATTTAACGTGGAAGCAAAGCGGACAGATGGTCCTTAGAAAAGTAGACTGAAAGTGAAAACAACCCATTTTTCTTCATCCAGGACCATCACTAGGCGCTGTCTCTTTGTCAAGGTAAGCAGTAGATTCATTAAGGAGTAATGCAGAATAGGTAAAAAATCATAGTCTTTTCATGATCCTTTTCAAAACAGACTGGGTCGGAAGGCGTGATTTTACTTGGTAATTTTACTTCTTTTGTAGGTAACAAATCAATATAAGTAATCATGATTCTAATGTACCAAGAGACCTCTTTTGGCCCCTGCAAATAGTCGAAATTTGATACAAAAATGAAAAGTATTTTTTTCAAATATTTTCTGGGACATATGTTTTTCCGATAAAAATCTATTCATCCACTCCCTCAGCCCGACAAATATAAAATGGTCTCAGTCCCTATGTGTCAAGCCATGGAGAGGATTTTCAACAGGCAATAATCATATTTGAGGCTTTTAAATTAAATATTGTGTTTCTCATGACCTTTCTGGCCCCATAATTGCCCCCTGCCTGGGAGGTATTTTAAGAAATTAATCATTGTTAAACGATTTTTCAACTAATTATATGCTTCTGACTGTTGAAAAAAGAAGAAATTGTCTGCCACAAAAATACATAGTTGCAAGATGATTTTAATTTGTTTTATTTAGGCTCATAGGATTAATTAGAAACAAACCTGGTTTAGCCGCTGTAGCCGAAAATATATCTAGTCTCCATACAAAATCCCTGGCTCCTCCCATATGTCCCCTGTATATGTCAAATTCTGTCCCTTACAAGCTCTTTAGCTAATCTCAAACCACAAGGTGTGAGTGATCAAGTCCTACCAGAACATAACATAATTATCAATCTAAAGTCCACCTACATCGAGAGCAAACTTGCCCTGCTCCTTCTTCCCCACAGGTGTATAGACTCTCACGACAACACCATCCGCATCCTTGCCCTCCACGTAGTCGTAGTCCCCTACGATGAAGGCCACGAGGTATGTGGACATGACCGGCGTTCTGTCATACTCCACCACACGCCATTTGGGGTCCTTGTCTGGGGTGTCAGACTTGACAGGCTGCAGGGCAAATACATTGTGTCATTCCGCTATTTCAAGATGTAAATGATATATCTTGTCACTCAGCTATCTCTAGCCTTAGATTTGAACTCATGATCATGGCTTCCTGGCACTGTTAAGGGAAGCAACTCTGCACATTGAATTGCAGCATCTGAGACAATTTATTTCTAGCCATAAATGTTTCATCTTGTCACTCAGCTATCTCTAGTGATAGACAACAGAACTCGCTGCTTCAGGTCAAACGTTATTTGTTAGACTTTCATTATACAACTGACAAACGATCTCAACGCACAGACAAAATCATTCAAAAAACACTATGACAACAAACAACACAATCAAGGTAACATTCTATACTTACAACTGTCAACTTTACCGATACAATTGTCATAACAACATCAGAACTTCCAGAATGAGAGTTATCTCCCTTACATCATTAGCCTTAGATTCAAACTCATGATCATGGCTTCCTGGCACTGTTAAGGGCAGCAACTCTGCACACTGAATTGCAGCATCTGAGACAACTTGGTCAACAATGTCCCCGACACCCAACTCTGAGACTAACTGAGTATGATACTACCAATATTCAAGCAGTACCACAGTGCTGTCCAGAATTATACCAATGTGAGGAATCAAACCTGGTAATTCGGCACCGAGAGCAAGGGCTGTTATCACTAGACTACCCCACCATGCCTACCATCCCTGATCATCTTGAGACAGCATAATTTCCTACAAAGAAGACTACTAATTCACTGGACCTTTTTCGTCACAAGAGAAAAGAAATTACTTTCAACATTTGAGGTGAGGTGAGGTGAAATGGGGTTTAACGTCGCGTCCAAGATTATTGCACTTATATAGCAACGTGCATGTATGTGTGTGTGTTTGTGTGGCTGCTTGTACTAGTCCGGACTGATGCCGATTTATAGTGCTAGCTCACTGAGATACCAGTTTTACATGAATACCCCACTCAGACACAGTATACTGACTCGGGAGCCGACCAGTCCTTGTTTTAGCCCCTTAATGCCGAGCGCCAGACAGGGTAACAACAAATACCATCTTTTAACGTCTTTTGGTATGACGCGGCTGGGGATCGAACCCCGGACCTTCCGCTCTCCGGGCTGACGCTTTCAACATTTGAGACATCATATCGGGTTATCCCATGTAAAAAATACATACTGATCTTTCCAACCCATCTTACCATATTGCTGACGGCTGTTTTATCCTTGGGCACCACAAGTGTGATGTCAAACGTGGCCTTGACTGCAGGTTCATCCCAGCCAGGGAAGGCTCGGCGGGCACCCGTTGCCTGCAAGGAAAAAGAAATGATTGTTTGTTTGTTTGTTGATTAATGCCGCACTCAGCAATATTCCAGCTATATGATGGTGGTCTGTAAATAATTGAATCTCGACCAGACAATGCAGTGACTGATATCATGAGCATCAATCTACACAAATGGGATACAATGACATGCATCAACCAAGTCAGCGAGCCTGACCACCCGATCCTGTTAGTCGCCGTTTACGACAAGTATAGTCACCTTTTAATGACAGTATCATGCTCATTTAATGCAAAATAAGCATCACAGCAACATCACATCATAAACATCATATAAAATATTTCTCGCTAAAACCATTAAAATAGATTTGTTTCTGTTTGATGTTTTATGAGGCACTCAGCAATATTCCAGTCACATAACAGACATTCATACATTCTTTCCCTAACAACTGATCATACTAGCATGATTAGAAGCCAGCATAGAAATTTAAAAAATAATTTTCAAAAGTTAATATCATTTGAATTCAATAATGCTGTGCAACTGATTTGTAAGGGAGATAACTCTAATGCTTTACTATTCAGGAAGTGACTGTAACCAAAATGGGTGTTTGGATTCTTTGGAATGACAGTTGGTGAGTTTAGAATGTCATAAATGAATTGGACTGTGTGTATGGGTTGTCGTGGTCAGGACAGTTAGTTGCAAGGAGATTTGACTTGTCCATGTCAATTATATGTTGGGAGTTCAAGCGATAACCTTCTCATCTCTTTCAACAACACCACATAAAGAGAACTTTACCTCAAAATGTGTGACAGCCCCTATCCTCTTTCCTCCATCAGGCATGGTGTGCCTGCTGCGATAGAAACCAGTCATCTTGTCGTTAAGTTCACCTGTGTAGTTCACCTTCAGCACACCTTTCCCTGGCTGCAAATGTCAAGGAGCCCAGTGTGAGTGAGTGAGTGAGTGAGTTGGGTTTAACGCCGCTTTTAACAGTATACCAGTGATATCACGGCGTGTCAGCTTAATGTGGGAGGAAAGCCCCAAGTGATGCAGATCTCAGACGTTTACCACTTTGGTGAAACCCCTGAGCACGGGTATGGTGCTGACAAACCTAGAAACATAATCAGGGCGAACCGGGATTCGAACCCACAATCATAGGTTTCTTGCGTGCCCATGGGATGCAACTCTGCACAGTGAATCGTGGCGCCTTAGACGACTGGGCAACCCGTGCCCCCTAAGGAGCCCAGTGAGATAACAAGCATTCATCTAGGATTGAATCTAGGAAGTGCCCTTGGTTGCCAAAAATATTGGAAAAAATACTAAGTTCAAATTTGGGATTTTTTTAAGGTTCTAATTTCCTAAATTCTGAGGTATTTTATCATTGCATTCTGTGCTTTAACGTAACAAGTCACCTCTACAAAGTCATAACATTAATTACAACTATATTTACATGAATTGGGAATTTTCAATCTCATTAAAATCAGATCTAAGTTCTCGCTATCGCTGAACAAAGATCTGAGGACATCCCATTATGGGACACGTCAGAACGAACTTTCATCCAACCAATCAAAGCGTTGCTTACCAGATCATGAAAGTGACAGTCGGAATATGTTTTCTAATCATACAACCTCGAAAACGACAACACGGGGTATTCCGAATGACAGTTACGGCCCGTACGACTGATTCCGTCAAAATTATGGTCTATCTCTCACTTCTGTAGGATGAACATTTAAACGTAGGAGGCATTGCACAGTACGTGGGAAGCACTGCCATACAATCTCAACCATATATTAGACATTCCGGAATGTTCGTTTGTTCAGTTTTCAAAATTTGAATCGAGAACTCTGTCAACTTATTTTTCAAGCGTAGTCTGAAATGGGAGTCGCCGGGTTGACATGAGTGCTGTGAAGCTCGAGAAAGCTGCTTTCTAATTGGCTGATGTCGACTTCTTGTTAAAAGTTCGCGAAAGGTTGTTCTGATGTGACCCGTAATGGGATGTCCTCAGATCTTTGTTTAGCGGCAGCGAGAACCTAGATCTGATTTTAATGAGATTATGGGAATTTTTTATTTAAGTCTTTTACATTTACTGCAGATTTGGCAAATTTCAGACTCTGAGCAGGTCTAGATAAATCCCTGGTGAACATTGTATAATGTTGCAGGCAGCATCATTATCAGACACATCTCAAGTCAGACACTGTTTAGAGACTTGACTCTGTGATCATGTATAGCAAAGTATGTATAGGCCTTGCTGGCTTAATTGATGTTAGGAACAGATGTCAAAGCTGTAAAAGTTTGTAATACCTTGATGGAAACATGAAGGATGGACGGACCGACACCAAAACCTCAACACTCAGCTCAGGTGAGCTGAACATCTACAGATAATTCGACAATTCACAATTTATCACAAATCTAATCACGATCACAAAGGGCACAATGACCTGATTCCCCCAAACGTGTTTACTTGTACCATGTTCGCTCAGCGTAACATTTGACTTGCCTTTGCATGTGTTTGTGACAGTTGCCACCAGTAGGTCAGGATACAATCACCTGTTCACAAACACCTAATTTCCTCACTATTTGATAGTGATTCATAAATATATATAATATAAATATAAATGGAATTGTCGATTCTGCTTTTACTAGTGAGTTATGATTATAGATTTGATTGTGTGTTGTTTAAAGCCGCACTCATCAATATTCTAGCCATGTAATGGCGGTCTGTAAGTAATCGAGCCTGGACCAGACAATCCAGTGATTGACATCATAAGCAACGATCAACGCAATTTGGGACGATGACATGCGTCAACCACGTCAGCAAGCCTGACCACAATCCCATTAGTCGCCTCTTACGACAGGCATAGTCGCCTTTTACGGCAAGCAAGGGTTGCTGAAGACCTATTCTACCCCGGATCTTCACAGGTATTATAATTATGGAATTGGTTTTGTCTCTTTTAGTTACATTTAACCCCGGGTGACTCACCTGTAAGGCTGAGGGGAACTTGAATGTGGCTGTCTCTGCCTCCTTGTCCATCGACACCTCAGCTGCCAAGGAGCTGTCTGAGAAAGAGAGGGCATGGGCTGAGATGTCATCATGTACAATACAAACTGATGACCGGGGATAAAATGCCTTAAAATACAACTATGAACTTCATTTAAAAGTGGACCCGAAAAAAGAAATATTGATCTTGGACGAAATTACCTCATATAAACATAATAAAGTCTATAATTGTTTTATTATATATTAAGGGGCGGTCGGGTAGTCTAGTGGTTAAAGCGTTCACTCGTCACGCCATGAATACAATGTGTGAAGCCCATTTCTGGTGTCCCCCGCCGCTATATTGCTGGAATATTGCTAAAAGCGGCATAAAACCATACTCACTCATTCACTATTATATATTAAAAATACAAAAACAGATTTACCCTATCTGACTATGTTAGCTGAAGTAATATAAGGCGGTTCCAGGAGACATCTCATTGGCCTAGGTTTGGTGAATACCTCTTCCGGTATTCCCAATCTATTTTTAGTAACTCAAGTGAATACTGTAAATTCTCATACCTGACTTGGGAGTTAATATGTGTTTCAGTCAAATGACCCATGACTGCTTCATGGCCAATAATGACGGAAAACTTGACATTACAGTATAACACGGATACATCGAACACGGATATAGCAAACAAACGGATAAAAACGAACGGTTAACAAATCCCCGATTTATCTCCTATATAATATCATATAAAATATGCTATCACGGCGGGCAATAGTAAGAGGAAAGCTGTCAGTTTAGACACAAAATTGAGAATTATAAATGCTGTTGATGCTGGTATAAAAACCAAGAAAGACATTGCAATGGAATTTGACATTCCAAAGTCAACATTGAGTACCATTACGAAAAGCGAAAACGTGTATAACGAACAACGTATATAACAAGCTGATTTCTCTGGTCCCTTGTAGTTCATTACATCCATGTTCTACTGTATTAATAATACATGAACTGATACCAGGGGTACATATCATATCACTACAGACAGAGTGTGTGAGTGAGTAAAAATAGTTTTACGCCAAGTTTGGTAATATACCAGCAATATCACAGTGGAGAACACCAGAAATGGGCTTCACCCAGTATGAAGGAATCAAACCAGGTCCTCGACACTGGCCTAACCAGTAGGCTACCCCACTGCCCCAACTACAGACTGAGTGAGTGAGTTGGGTTTAATGCTGCCTTTTACAGTATTCCAGTTATATCGTGGCATCTCAGCGCAATGTGGGAGGAAAGCCCGAAGTGATGCAGGTCTCAGACATTTACTACTTCAGTGAAACCTACAATCACCGGTATGGTGCTTACAAACCAAGAAACATAAGGATTCGAACCAACAATCATAGGTTTCTGGCGTGCCCAAGGGACGCAACTCTGTACAGCGAATCGCTGCTCCTTAGACGACTGGGCCACCCGTGCCCCCCAACTACAAACTGAACACTGGGTTAACATAATTTCAAACTAACCAACGACTGATTAGATGAGTTGTAGTTTCATGGAGTATCATATCCTCAACAGGTTGATTACAGGAGAGTTATGACATCATCACAATCCTATCAATTGTATACTGAAAACAGGAGATACGACTTCATATCCACTGCAGATTCATCACAGGGAGATATGACATCACATGAAAGTGGCTGCAGACAATAAAGAGTCCATTGATAAGGATAAGGATTCAAGAAACAGAGAATATCGGCAGCACAACTGCAGACACTGACAGCCGTAAAGAAGAACCTTTCAATATAAAAAATTGTTAAAAAATTAATACATAAAGTGACAGTGAGAAGGTGAATTCCTGATGGACAGTAAAAAGGGAACATTCTCCTAATTTTGAGTCTTTATTTCAAAAATATTTGTGCATCACCTGGCTTCATCAAATGTTCCCAATTCTAGAAAGTTAGGGGTCACTGGGCCCCACTTTTCTAATTTCTGACAAGAACAATGGTTTCAGTGTTGTTTCTGTTCATGGCAAGGTTTACACTTGTCTGCTAGAGGGATAAAGCATTCAGCAAGTGATTGTCTTTGAAGATATAACCAACAACTAACCTCCAGCTTCATCTGCATGGTATGTGACTTCGCTGATGGTGATGTCCAGTGAGTTGACTGTCACAGTGTCTGTTGACTTCTTCACCTGTGAATTAATCAAACAAGCATTTGCTAAATTGATCTTTACTGGGTTTCTGTGCATATAATCTTACACCAGTCCTAAATCTTATATTGAATCAAACAGACTTGGAGTGAGTATAGTTTCACATTGTTTTTTTTAAGCAATATTATGACACGGCACACCAGAAATAGGCTTAACACATTGCACCATGTGAGGAATTGAACCCCGGGTCTTTGGCATGACCAGCGACCACTTTAACCACTTGGGTGCCCCTCCGGACAAACAGGTTTGGTACAAAATATATATATATTTTTATTTTCATTATTTTGCAATGTCAGAGTGGTTCCTTTAGAAAAAAAATCTCCGAATAGAATTGAAGTCATACTACTAGAATCATAGTGGACAGATATTTTATATGTTCAATGAATCCCAATTTTGCATTATTGCAAGACAATTGAGAACATTGCCATACATGAGGAATAGGAAATTGCTTGAGAAGAAAGCATTACTAATGACATATCCCTATCTTATTGCATTATGAGCCTACAGACATGGTTCACTCCTTATATAGTTAAAGGGAGACCCATGTCAGAGGATTTCAGGGGAGGGCTAAAAAAAAATATTACAGTCTCTTGGTGAGGGTCATAAAAGACAAGCCACATATTTGGTAAGGGTCATAAAAACAGTTAATAATATAAAGTGCTTTTGCATTTGGGTCATCCAAAATGTGAAAAGCATTAGTGTAGTGTCCTTATTTTCAGTACATTAGAGCTTCAAAAACCTTTAAGTATCTGAGTTTCTGGCAGTTCACGTTTAATAATATATAATAATAATTATCTGTACATAAATGTATCAGTTCATGACAGAGGCAATGTCTCGGGTTTCACACCACATTTGCATTAATGAAATACGATCCCATGGACCAGTCATTTAATTCAGGATGTGGTGGGTGAGAGGTTTTTGAAAATAATTATCCTCCCCTAATGGTTGTCAAATTTGTTTTTTGACCCTCATGTCCTTGTACATTTTTTTCAAGACCCTCCCCCAAAAGACAAAATGCAAAACCACTTTGTATTTTATTATACAATGTCCATTTTTATGATGTCCCAACCTAAATATGTGTATTATTTTTTTTATCTCCCTTCCCATGAGATTGTCATATTTTTGGGTAACAGATCCCCTGATTCCATCCGACCCACCCACCCATTAATAAATGGCCGGTCCCAAAAACACAGACCCAATATGTTGGCTTAATTTACTAACTACTTTGGCGACATTTATAGACTGAAGTCACGTGCCACGCGTGAAACCGGGGTATGTCTGAGTGTTCACGTGACTTTTGAGGGGTGTTTGATTAGGAATTAGATCTAGTTAACTACTATATTTCATTATTTGTAACTTATTTTCCGACGTGACATGTGTTTCGATCAGCTGATCGCCAGTTGATTTCAGTTGTTCTGCGTTGATTACCTCAACATCTATTGCTTCTTGCCCCTGAAATACGAATGCATCCAGATCTGGTTTCAGGCGAATGTTGTAGTTTGATGGAACAACATCTTTTGGAAGACGTTTGAACTCTCGTTTTTCTTGCATAGTGCAGAATTTGTTTACGTTCTGTTTGGAATAATCACGCACGAAATTACCTCCCTTGTTTAACTTCGAGCTTTATATCAGTGCGTGCCACATTCGTTAACAGCAGTGAACGCAAGTACAGACGTGTCGATGTAAGGAGTTTGCACACAGAACTGATGTTTTGCTATCTTTGCGCTAGCGATTCTTACATTGTAGAGCCAGAGCCCAGCCTACTTGCAGAGGCTTGTTTTTCATTTTCTGTGCAAACATCGAGGTATAAGACTCACAAATTGTATGCAATTGCGTAGGTAATGCGGCGTTTGTCTTTATGGATATTCAGCTATGCTATGTACTCAGAAGGTGGGACGTCACTCCATTTACGAAAGTACAAAACGTTGCCTCACATAGAAAATCGTTTAAATTAGAATTGTTCTCTCTAAATATATAATCTCCTTTGACTTGGGCCTACACGTGGTCAAGCTATGCTCCAGGTTTGTAGAGGTCTTCATTTTGGTTCCCCGAAAGCGGCCTCGACGGCGGGACCGCCTCCGTGGTCTACTAGTGGTAGAGCATCCGCGCGAAAGATGTTAAAAGGTGGTACTTTTTGTTACCCTGCCTGGCGCTGGGCATTAAGGGGCTAAACAAGGACTGGTCGGCTCGGGGTCAGTTTGCTGTCTGAGTGGGATATTCATGTTAAACTGCGGCATAGTATCTCAGTGTGCTAACACTATAAATCGGCATCAGTCCGGACTTGTTCAACCCCATTTCACCTCACCTCAATGTATCTAATGGGCTTCTATTTAACATGTCTAATAGCTGACCTCAGCTTTCATAATTTATGGCGCATCTAGTTTCAACATATCTTGCTTGCTTTTAACATCAGTAGCAGCCCCGCATCTTGCATCTAAAACATATACTACTCCACTTTAGATAGGGATACTTCTTATCGTTCCATGATCAGGTGGTCAGGCTCGCTGACTCGGTTGAAGCATGTCATCGATCCCAATTGCGTGGATCGATGCACATATGATATCAATCACTGAATTGTCTCTTGAGATTTGTCCCCAATATAGTTGCTCGTGGTGAGCTTGGACGTTATTCACTTAAAGTCAATCAATATATTCGTAATGTCAAATATTGGCTCCGACTTGTTTCTAAAAAAAATAATATAATCCTTAGCCATGCTTATTCATATCAATACACTCTAGCAGAAAAAAAAGAATAAATTGCTGGGCATTAAAAGTAAAACAACTTCTTTATTCATATGGTTTTGGCCATGTTTGGAATAGTCAAGGAGTAAATTATATTGGTTTTATTGATAACTTTAAAACAAGATGTATTGATATAGATAACCAACAGTGGTCTAGCAGTTTAAGAACTTACTCAAAACTTTCTTTTTATTCTTGTATTAAGCAATATAATGTATTTGAAAATTATCTAGATTGTATTCCAGTAAGTGCCTATCGTATTGCTTTGAGTAAATTTAGATGTTCTGGTCATACTTTGCTAATTGAAAATGGAAGGAAGTACACTATACCTAGAGCTTAGAGACTATGTCCATTTTGTGTAAGACCTGAAGTGGAATTTGAATATCATTTTTGTTTACAATGTCCATATTATGACAGTTTCAGACGTAAGGTTCTACCTTATTATTTTTACACAAATGTAACTTTTGATAAATTTGTAACACTCGGTACATCTAAAACCCCATGCATAATAATGCTTTAGCTAAATTTATATTTCTTGCTTTTAAAAGGCGTAATAACTTTCTCATTGGCGCTGAAATTGTCTAATTCTGATATCATGTATTGTATAATGGGCCGTTGGCCCCTTTACTGAAATAAAGCTCTCTCTCACCGGATTGTCTGGTCCAGACTCGATTATTTACAGACCGCCGTCATATAGCTGGATTATTGCTTGTTACACCGGCAGGAGAAAGCCTTCTACACTATAGTGGGATCAAGCCCTGCAGTTGGAGGATTTATGTTGAAAAATAATGACCAACTCCAACAACACACCAATTCCCATGGTAACCGGTTAACTTGGTCCCTGTATACCTTCAGCCGGGTGTGATCTGGTGTCAACATTGGATACCCATCTTACGAAGAGATTGCTCATGTGGAGTTTTTCAAAGAAGATGGGGCCGCCTCTGTGATCTAGTGGTAGAGCGCCCGCCATGGCGTAAGGTCCGGGGTTCGGTCCCCGGCTGCGTCATACCAAAAGACGTTGAAAGATTATAGTTCTTGTTACCCTGTCTGGCGCTCGGTATTAAGGGGCTAAAACAAGGACTGGTCGGCTCGGAGTCAGTATACTGTGTCTGCGTGGGGTATTCACGTTAAACTGCGGCATGGTATCTCAGTGTGCTAGCACTATAAATCGGCATCAGTCCGGACTAGTACACCCACACTCGCACACGTGCATGCACGTCGCTATATAAGCGCAATAATCTTGGACCCGACGTTAAAAACTCACCTCACCTATCGGTCTAACTTGGTCGTAGGTCTCCCAAGAGATATATTTTTCAAACACGTGTTCAAACCTCACATTCCACAATGCAATATAGTTGAACTTGTCGATTTACCCTCGCATATCTTTGGGGGCGGTCGGGTAGCCTAGTGGTTAAAGCGTTAGCCAGTCACGCCGAAGACCCGGGTTCGATTCCCGACATGGGTACAATGTGTGAAGCCCATTTCTGGTGTCCCCCACCGTGATATTGCTGGAGTATTGCTAAAAGCGGCGTAAAACCTCACTCACTCGTATATCTTTGAAATGATGCAGTGTTATCTATATTTCGTTTACGGCTGTGACGTCTTTGGAATATCGTATTCGTTTGAATTTTGATCTTTGGTTCACATGCCAAGGAAAATACAACACTACTTGACTTATTGTTTTCTTACAGTGATTGTATTACTCATATTACAGAGATAAAGTAGACTTGTTCTCGTGTGATTGTGGTATGTGTATGGAGACATGAATGTGTACGGTACAGTGGACTCGTGGTTGCCATTTTTCACGTATAAACACTCAACGTAAAGCTATATCAGCATTTTACCATAGCTCATTAATGGTAATCAAAGGTATCATGTATGCGATGACTGAATGATATTTCGTTTGTTGTTTAACGTCGCACTCAGCAATATGAGTGAGTGAGTATTGTTATACGCCGCTTTTAGCAATATTCCAGCAAAATCACGGCGGGGGACACCAGAATTGAGCTTCACACATTGTACCAATGTCGGGAATCGATCCCGGGTTTCGGCGTGACGAGCGAACGCTTTAACCACTAGGTGACCCGACCGCGGTCTGTAAATAATTGAGTCTGGACCAGACAATCCAGTGATATGTCACCGTGAGCATCGATCTTCGCAATTGGGATAGATGATATGCATCAACAAATGTCAACGAGCCTCTTACGACAACCATGGGTTACCCATGCCCACCATTACATTATTCTACATTGTTCTGTTGGATGTCGGGGATGTATAAGTGTGTGCCTAAGACCTCAGAATTCACAAGACCCAGATATCTTACTGTGAAACATATAAATGACCAGACGTTGTTGCAAGTCTGTTCAAACAAAGTACCCGTTGACGCTGTTGCTCCAAGCCGCAACATCCGTGAAGATCTGGGTTAGACTAGGTCTTCAGCAACCCATGCTTGTAAGAGGCGACAAACGGGATTGGGTGGTCAGACTCGCATCGTAAACAAATTGCATAGATCGATGCTCATGATGTCAATCACTGGATTGTCTGATCCAGATAAGGTTTTTTACAGACTGCCGTCATACAGCTGGAATATTGCTGAGTGCGGTGTTAAACAACAAACAAATCCTAGTTATAATCACTGGATTGTCTGATCCAATTTGCAGACTGCCGTCATATAGCTGGAACATTGCTGAGTGCATGTTAAACAAACACAATCCAAGTCATAAACTTGGAACACATAGATTTGATAAAATAGAAGACACTTTTGTTCACATGTTTTTCGAATATATGGTGGCATCACAGCGATCCATTCATATAATCTTCACCTCTATTTTGCATTTTACACACAGTGGCATCTGTTTCAGCAGATAGGTCGAGAATGGTTATTCTTTAGCGTTGACATTTTATATTGTGATCTTTTCGGAATATATTAGGTTTCTTGCAGGAGCGGCTTTTCGGAAATAAAATGTCTGCCTTATTGTGTCGAAATGTCTTGTATAATAGATGGAATTCAAGGCCTGATTAACAAGAGTTCCTACTGCTTTCATAAATAGACTCCATATATCCAAAACATTTCAAGTTAAACAAAAAACATTGCAAACTTAAGGTCCAAAACACAACTAACATACCTGCTTCAAATAACCATTGGCAGGGGTGACTCAGTGGTCTGAGGCCCTGCAATTTCGCTGTGAAGAGTTGAGTCTCTTATACAGGCACGTGCCATTCGCCCTGATTATGTTCCTAGGTTTGTCAGCACCATACCCGTGCTCGTGGGTTTCACCGAAGTGGTAAACGTCTGAGACCAGCATCACTTCGGGCTTTCCTCCCACATTTAAGGTGACACGCCCTAATATAACTGGAATATCGTTAAAAGCAGCTTTAAACCAGTCACTCACTCACTCACTATTTCAGCTCCCATCAAAGATATATGTATGCTTTCTATTGTCCAGCCGTTTATTTCCCATTCAGTAAGCCATAAGCTCAAAATTATCCTCCCTAGACTCCAGCCAGGGGGGCTAGGCAATATGAGTGAGTGAGTGAGTTGGGTTTAACGCCGCTTTAACATGATTCCAGTTATATCAGATGTGTCAGCTTAATGTGGGAGGAAAGCCCGAAGTGATGCAGGTCTCGGACGTATACCACTTCGGTGAAACCCACGAGCACAGGTATGATGCTGACAACCCTAGAAACATAATTGGGGCAAACCAGCATTTGAACCCACAATCATAGGTTTCTGGCGTGCCCAAGGGACACAACTCGGCACAACGCGGGGACTTAGAAGACTGGGACACCCGTGCCCCCTAGCGAATATGACCTATATAGTGAACAATGGTAGTTTCCATTTGTATCCGGACATGACCTGCTCTCATCCGCAGCAGTTGCAGATAATGCAAAAGTAACATTTTGCTGCTTTTTCCAAAGTTTTTGTTAAAATGCATGTGCTTCATGATCAACCATTTTTTTAGAAACCAGAAATTTCCTGAACACAATTTCCACCAGTATAACAAAATTGAAACCGGTGGTTTCTTAAAAAAAATTCTAATTCACAAATGTTGCTTTCAGAAACCACAAGACCAAATCTCATTTGACCTTTTGTCAGACAAGGGCCGCTGATGTCAGTTTGTTAAATGTATCAATGTGCAGCTCTGAAATTTGTCTATTGTAGGTGGGGATCCCAAATGTTTTGACCTGAAAATTGTGCATCTTGCCGAGGCAAGGGCGTCGGCTGACTATAAAAGTCCAATTTCCACCCTTGCCGAACTAGGCTGGAATTCCAGCGTTACATATTGGCTGGACTGACGAGTCTATACATACGGTTGTCCAATTAACATCGCTGAATGAACTAGACATCCGGTTTGTAATCATAGATTTCAACGTTTCAGTGGACTGAAGGATTTGCAGAGCATGTATACCATCAGCTGGACGTCGACAGACACTTTGCAAATCTTTTAATGTTTTTAATCAAGGTGCTCAAGTAATTTGATGCACTTCACGAGGTAAGATCTGTTTTATAACCTCACAACTTTTGATTATCAATCAGATTGTCTTGACTGGGTGCCACCATTTTATTTAAGCAATTGCAAGTGATATGAGAGGTGGAATCTGATTGGTCTATAGGAGGGACCTAAAAGGGACACAACTCGTAATAATCACTGGTGGTGCTACTATCGAGCCTGGATATTCCAGTCAAGTTCGGCAAGGGTTAAAACTGGATTTTTATAGTCAGTTAAGGCCTTGGGAATATGAAATTGGTGAAGATGCAAGAAACTCAACATGTCATAGATAAATGGAGCCAGGGTAACATGAAGTATGGCAGTGGTGCATTCTCACACTGTGCCATTATATCCCCATAAAGTACCTGTTCCTTCCATCAGCCTGTTTGAGTCCAGAGCGATAGAGAGTGAGGCGCGTGCTAACTGCGCCTTCGGCCACTCATTTGGTGACTTTATCATTATGTGCACCCCTACCGCCTTTTTAAAAAAATAAAAACATCCTGAATCCGCCTCTGTATCTTACAAGGAGGAAGATACAACCAACTCAACATGACAAGTAGTAGTTTTATTACAGATAACTGGAACCATGATAACATAATGGTGCATGGTCTCTTCATACAGTTACATAGCAGCTTGAGTGAGTGAGTGAGTGAGTTTGGTTTTACGCCGCTTTTAGCAATATTCCAGCAATATCACCGCGGGGGGACACCAGAAATGGGCTTCACACATTGTACCCATGTCGGGAATCGAACCTGGGTCTTCGGCGTGACGAGCGAACGCTTAAACCACTAGGCTACCCGACCGCCCTACATAGCAGCTTGAAGCATAAATCATCACGGCAGATGCCATGGAATAGCATATGATCTAAGCTGTCAGGCTGAAGCACACATGCAGAAAAGGGTGTCCTCCAATGTTCAAAGGGCTGTATGATGACCTCAGGAGAAGACGTCATGTATGTGTTCTCAGGTCACTTGTGAAGTAAGCAGTATGCTGTGACATCACACCATCATAACCTGAATTAAATTAATAATCCGACCTAATATTTAATATTTATTCCCTTAAATACTTGTCAGGGTCAACATTAACCCATGAACAAATCTACTCCATATAAGCTTGGGTAGTTCTCTACTTGTTTTATTAAGGTCATAGTTAGTGTCACTGGCTGGGTCACAGGCATGGTCTGTGTCCGGTTTCTGCACACTTTTGTCACATGATTCCAGCAACAACCTCTCCTGGTTAGTCCGCATGTTTCTCTACGCATCTATTGAGAGCACTTTCTCTACACTTTAAGTTAATTTAATTATTACTTTATTTATCTAGAAAATTAGGTTAGACTACTGAGTATAGAAAGCATTTTTCTATAAAGTATTTGGCTTGCATGGTATCATTATATTGTCCCTGACCAATACCAACAATTAATTCCATGGACAAGGAATATGCAATATTCTCTTATTTCCAACAATCTTAGGTACCAGATTAGGCAAATTGGCTTGCATTTCCACATCCCTTCTTAAAGATTGTTTTGAAGTGAGAGGTCTAATAAATAAGGTTACGGACAGTCATATAAAGTTGATTCATATAGTGTCAAGATTAATGTAGGACTTGTCTGGGACCTCAGCTGTTCTGTTGTCCACCCTCCATTTTGTCTCGGATCTGCTTCAGCAAATCTCTGAAAAAAAATTAACCTGTTTGTAGAACAGTGTCAAAAAGAACCTAGAAAACCGAAAACTTCCCATTTAGTCAGCTCTTACAAAAAGTACTAATAACAATAAGAAGCTTTAGCTCACCATCTATCACTGTTTGTATAAAACTAACAGAACAAATTAACCTATCCTGTGAGTTAACTGGTTGCTTGCACCAGCCTCTTGTCACCTGGGCAATATGGGAGGTGGAAAATTAAATGCCAAAACGGTGCAACTTACATAAAGAGATCACATGGTGTGACTCAAGTCAATATATGAGGAGTGAGTGAGTATGGATTTACGGCCCTTTTAGCAATATTCCAGCAACATCACGGCTGGAACACCAGGAATGGGCTCCACACATTGTACCTATGTGGGGAACCCAGGCCATCAACATGACAAGTGAACACTTAACCACTAGGCCACCCCACCGCACCAATATATGAGGATATGGAGCAATGATATGCTGTCACAGAAATAGCTTCTATTGAGGGTTATGCTCCGTAACAACCTGATCCCTTTCTGTCATCTCTAACCAGGAGTGAGTGAGTATGGTTTAACACCGCTTTTAGCAATATTCCAGCGATATCACGGCGTGGGACACCAGAAATGGGCTTCACACATTGTACCCATGTCGGGAATGGAACCCGGGTCTTCGGCGTGACGAGCGAACGCTTTAACCACTAGGCTACCCGACCGCCCCCTCTAACCAGGAGGTGAGGTGGGATGAAATGGGGTTTAACATCGCCTGTATAGTGATGTGCATGCATGTGTGTCTGCTTGTTCTAGTCCAGAATTATGCTGTGTTTGTTGTTCTAGCCCACTGAGATACCATGCCACAGATTAACATGGATACCCTACTCTGACAAATTATTCTGACTGTGAGCTGGTCAGTCCTTCATTTTTCAACCCTTTTTTAGTATGACGCAGATCCAACCACTGACCTTCTGCTCCCTGTGCCGATACTCTCTCCACACCAAGGAGCCAGTCAAATACTTGAGGTGAGGATTATTGCACTTATATCGGAACGTGCATTGACGTGTATGTGTGTGTGGCAGACTTGTACTAGTCTGGACTGATGCCGATTTATAGTGCTAGGACACTGAGATACCATGCCGCAGTTTAACATGGATCGAACCCCGGACCTTCCACTCTCCGGGCGGACGCTCTACCTCTAGACCACGGAGGCGGTCTCATATACTTGAAGCCACCTACACACGTTTAATCTCATTAATCTCATTCACCTCATTCTCTGCAAATTCTCAATCAAATGTCATATTACAAAGAAATTACTTTGAGTCGTCATCGTCGTCCTCTACTTTGACCGAGAGAGTGTTCACACACAGGCGGAGAGAGTCCTCGCAGTTACCTAGTTGCTCAAATGGTACCCTGCCTGCAAAGACAAAACTTTGATTATACTATAAAACAACAACATACTGACTGTTCAAGCTTACAAAGAATCAACAGAATGATAGCTAATTTGTGAAGATGGGTAATTGCAGAAAAGGTGCAATGTTGGTTACAATTCTGAGGACGGTTAAGCCTAGGTAGATTAGTAGTCAGTTTGTGTTTATCTTTTCTCATGTTAACAGATATTGGTATATCTGGTCCAGAATGAGGTGAGGTGAAATGGGGTTTAACTTCGCGTCCAAGATTATTTCACTTATATAGCGATGTGCATGTACGTGTGTGTGTTTGTGTGGCTGCTTGTACTAGTCCGGACTGATGCCGATTTATAGTGCTAGCCCACTGAGATACCATGCCGCAGTTTAACATGAATACCCCTCAGACACAGTATACTGACTCCGAGCCAATCAGTCCTTGTTTTAGCCCCTTAATGCCAAGCGCCAGACAGGGTAACAACAAGTACCATCTTTTAACGTCTGTTGGTATGACGCGGCCGGGGATCGAACCCCGGACCTTCCGCTCTACCACTAGACCACAGAGGCAGTCTGGTCCAGAATGAAGTGTCAAACACCAGAATATATATACAGAATATGGAAGCTATCTTTACCTTTTGTTTTCCTGATGGCTGAGAGTAAATGAGCACATCCATGTGCATGGTGGAGATCTGGCACACTGCCTGATGAGATGAACGCATTCAACTCCTGCAGGAAGAAGCTGGAACAGGCAGAGGGAGTTTGATGCAGAAAGTTACCACCACATAATTTGTTTGGTTGTTGCAGCACTCAGCAATCTCACAGCTATATGATGGCGTTCTGAAAATAATCGAGTCTGGACAAGACAATCCAGTGGTTTACATCATAAGCATTGATCCACACAATTGGGATACAAGACACGCATCAACCAAGTCAGCAAGCCTGACCACCCGATCCCGTTAATCGCCTGTTACGACAAGCATAGTCGCCTTTTACGGCAAGCATGGGTTGCTGAAGATCTATTATACCCCGGATCTTCTCGAGAATACTACCAAATAAGGGGCAGTGGGGTAGCCTTGTGGTTAAAGCGTTCTCCCGTTACGTCTAAGGCCAGGGTTCGATTCTCACATGAGTACAATGTGTAAAACTGTTTCTGGTGTCCCCCGCCGTGATATTGCTGGAACATTGTCTTCACTCACTCATACCACACAGACAGCCCTTGAACCTTATCAATAGGGACCTCAACACCATTCACATATCCTGTATATCCTGTATATCCTGTAATCATTGCAAATGATTGAACAGAATTTGATTTGCTAACCAAGCAATTATTTTTGCATTTGTTTCCATACACCTCAGATAATTAGGCCACATCCCAACTACTGTTTCCTGATTGGCTGCTAATAAGAGAGGGTGTGGCTTGTGCTGCACTATTGCACAAAACTATGTCACTGTATCAATGTCTACACTTTTATATACATCATCTGTGCTGCAGATGTACAGTGTGCACACCCTTTCTTTCATGTTTCTACCCCATAAACAACAAAAATATCAAAGGCAATTATTACAAGAAATGTGCATTGTTAGTTAAATTTACAGCATACTAACAGAATTTAATATTGCTCATTTATTTGAAACAATGATTTTTCTTGAGTCCCATTTTATAAATAGCAGTCATGTGCGTGACTGATACAGCTACTTACTGCAGCCTCTGTCTAGGGGAAAACATGATCTTCACCAGCAGCGCTGACAGAGGAGGGAGGATGGAGATGTCGACTGGCTCATCAAGGGTTTCCTACACAACAAATACATTTACTAGTCCAACTAGTACAATTGACTAGTCTTTGATTAAAGAAACATTTGTCTTTCCAGTCTCATTTGAAAATGAATACTTCATAACAACATAAACAAAATGGTTGTTCATATTCTTATTCCTACATGTTAATTATTGAACAGTTCACCAATGCAGAACATGAACGTCTGTTATTGTCAGCATTTTCAAATATAATTTGATTTAAAACTTTAAAAAAAAAAAAATTATTCCTTTCGCAAAATACATGTTACCTTTGAAAAATCAATAAATTTGCTTTCTTCGGCACAACATTTCAAACATGGTAGGGGTCATGTTGTGCAAATTCATTTCTTACCCCAATCTTCTTTGAACCAATTTATTTTTACACAAAATTATCGAGCCACAAATTACTTTTCACAAACTGTTGCAGGAAAGAGTGATATGTTAAATAGAAATAATCAAATTTAACAACAGGTCTTTCAATTTTCAATTACATAAAAAAAAAAAAAATTTGGTATAATTTTTTGGCCCCTCAGTTTATATAATGTTTCAAGCTGCAAACTTGATAACTCAACAAATAAATGTATTAACTCAGGCTCAACAAGTATTTGACTACTAAACTGATATTGCTCAGTTAAAGGAGTTTGGGAGCCTGTTCGAAAACAACGTAAGATAGTTGCAAGGGATGGGAGTTACAATGGAGCTAAGAACCTGTGGGATACATCACGCTACCTTATGACTGGCATGAGGGGTAGCACTTTGGTGCTTTCTTGTGGACTACCCGTGCTAGTAACAAATAAACTTGCCTCCAAATTACAACTCACGCTTAAGGCTACCTGCTTTTATTTCAGTGGGAACCTTTCTGGGTTACCTCTTTCTCAGTTGGAACCTGGTCAGTCCCCACTTTCCCGTCGTGGAATCGTTAAATAGTTTACGTTGGGCAACAAATTGCCCTGTATATTGGCACGGTGATGGTAGTCATCATGTCAGCAGTAGCTGACATTTGGACCGGTGGCTGTTGCTGCCACAAAGGTTTTTACTTATTGGGCCATGCAGCAGTAGTTGCTTTTGGCCGGCAATGGTAGCGGTCACCTATGCTACCTGGGGCTGGGCAGCGGTGGTTGCCTAAGACTAGCAGTAGCTGCTTTTAGCAGCAGGGTAGTTGCCAAGCAACGGTAGCTTTTCTTATAATAAAGTATGCTACCAGGGCCAGGCAGCGGTAGTTGCCTCAGGCCAACTGTGGTAGCTGCTTATTGCCACTGGCAACACTAGTTTCCATGGACATGGTAGCTTTTTCCTGTAATCAACTAGCACCTGTACACCCTCTGCTATTTATTCCTATCTCATGTCGGATTGTTCTTATAGTCTTACGGTTATCCAGTTTGGTAGTCTGTGCCTCACATTTTGGCATATCACGCAATAAACGTACCTTATGACTAGCATGAGCCAGTTCCGCCACTATGGCCATTAGTGTGGCTGTCATCATGTCCGCTGTTGAAGGGTAGTGGAACACATTCTTCATGCTTGTGTTGAAGATTTCTGTGAGCTGGGGCTTGATGCTGGATACAACCTACAAGCAAGGTACACTGATTGTTTGTTTGTTTGTTTGTTTAACGCCGCACTCAGCAATATTCCAGCTATATGACGGCGGTCTGTAAATAATCAAGTCTGGACCAGACAATCCGGTGACTGATATGAGCATCGATCCACGCAATTTGGATACGATGACATGCATCAAACAAGTCAGCGAGTCTGACCACCTGATCCCGTTAGTCGCCTCTTATGACAAGCATAGTCGCCATTTAGAGCAAACATGGGTTGCTGAAGACCTTTTCTAAAACGGATCTTCACTGATTGTAAACCCATCTCCCTCCACATTATCTTCCAGCCATGACCACAGTACACCATGTCTGTTTGCTTCTGTGTAAGGTGTAAAACAACCAGGTGCAGTAAGCAAACCTAGGATTTATCCTATGGAGTGACTTGGGTTTAACAGCACTTTGAACAGTATTCCAATAACATCTTGGCGTGTCCTGCTAAAACGTCTATTAATCCTATCCTCACCTCCCGACAGGTGCTATAACGTCTAGTAATTCTATCCTCACCTCCTGACAGGTGCTATAACATCTAGTAATTCTATCCTCACCTCCTGACAGGTGCTAAAACGTCTATTAATCCTATCCTCACCTCCTGACAGGTGCTATAACGTCTAGTAATTCTATCCTCACCTCCTGACAGGTGCTATAACATCTAGTAATTCTATCCTCACCTCCCGACAGGTGCTAAAACGTCTATTAATCCTATCCTCACCTCCTGACAGGTGCTATAACGTCTATTAATCCTATCCTCACCTCCTGACAGGTGCTAAAACGTCTATTAATTCTATCCTCACCTCCTGACAGGTGCTATAACATCTAGTAATTCTATCCTCACCTCCCGACAGCTGCTATAACGTCTAGTAATTCTATCCTCACCTCCTGACAGGTGCTATAACATCTAGTAATTCTATCCTCACCTCCTGACAGCTGCTATAACGTCTAGTAATTCTATCCTCACCTCCCGACAGCTGCTATAACGTCTAGTAATTCTATCCTCACCTCCTGACAGGTGCTATAACATCTAGTAATTCTATCCTCACCTCCTGACAGGTGCTATAACGTCTAGTAATTCTATCCTCACCTCCTGACAGGTGCTATAACATCTAGTAATTCTATCCTCACCTCCTGACAGGTGCTAAAACGTCTATTAATCCTATCCTCACCTCCTGACAGCTGCTATAACGTCTAGTAATTCTATCCTCACCTCCTGACAGGTGCTAAAACGTCTATTAATCCTATCTTCACCTCCTGACAGGTGCTATAACATCTAGTAATTCTATCCTCACCTCCTGACAGGTGCTAAAATGTCTATTAATCCTATCTTCACCTCCTGACAGCTGCTATAACATCTAGTAATTCTATCCTCAACTCCTGACAGCTGCTATAACATCTAGTAATTCTATCCTCACCTCCTGACAGCTGCTATAACGTCTAGTAATTCTATCCTCACCTCCTGACAGCTGCTATAACGTCTTGTATTTCTATCCTTACCTCCTGACAGCTGCTATAACATCTAGTAATTCTATCCTCACCTCCTGACAGCTGCTATAACATCTAGTAATTCTATCCTCACCTCCTGACAGCTGCTATAACATCTTGTAATTCTATCCTCACCTCCTGACAGGTGCTAAAATGTCTATTAATCCTATCTTCACCTCCTGACAGCTGCTATAACATCTAGTTATTCGATCCTCACCTCCTGACATGTCTGCTTGTGGTGTTTGATGTAGTTGGCAAGACACACATACATCTTGCCCATGAAGTTGGGGATAATCGACAGCATCTGCCCTTCACTGTTTGTCTCTCGGTCCAGTGTGCGTCGAGCATCTGTCACCCACTGTAGACACGTCATCACGCTGTCCAGCAGTCTCAGGCTCCTGTCTACAACACAAATATCACGTCATCACGCTTTCCAGCAGTCTCAGACTCCTGTCTACAACACAAATATCTTGTCATCACGCTGTCTAGCAGTCTCAGGCTTCTGTCTACAACACAAATATCTTGTCATCACGCTGTCCAGCAGTCTCAGACTCCTGTCTACAACACAAATATCTTGTCATCACGCTGTCCAAGAGTCTCAGGCTTCTGTCTACAACACAAATATCACGTCATCACGCTGTCCAAGAGTCTCAGACTCCTGTCTACAACACAAATATCTTGTCATCACGCTGTCCAAGAGTCTCAGACTCCTGTCTACAACACAAATATCTTGTCATCACGCTGTCCAAGAGTCTCAGACTTCTGTCTACAACACAAATATCACGTCATCACGCTGTCCAAGAGTCTCAGACTCTTGTCTACAACACAAATATAACTATTATGCTGCAGTCTGTAAATAGAGCCAGTTAATGATCAAGTGACAGTTACAGATTTTATCTATTTGTATCGTACATATTTTAGCTTGATTGCTATAAGTGTTTGTGCTAGTCTTGTTATTTCTTTTTCAGTCATGTTTATCAGTTTTGCCTACCTCAACCTTGTTTTGTTTATTTGTTTGAACTCAGCAATATTCCAGCTAGATGATGGCAGTCTGCAAATATTTGAGTCTGGACCAGACAATCCAGTGATTGACATCATGAGCATCGATCTATGCATTTAGGATAGGATGACATCCATCAACCAAGTCAGCGAGCCTGACCACCCTATCCCGTTAGTCGCCTCTTCCGACAAGGATAGTAGCCTCTTGTGACAAGCATGGGTTGCTAAAGACCAATTCTACAGGTCTCCTTGACCAGGTAACAGCCCCGTCACTAAGCATGCGCACCCTTTGCACTGCCTAACACAATAGCCCAAGCCCTTTCCACCTCAAGCCCTTTTGTCTTTTGGGCCAGCTTGCGTATTTAGATAAGCTGAACTCTTGACTCCTCAGAAGGCCCGTGGTTACTCCACATATATTCTTTGAAGGATTCACATATCTTTATTCTGCTCACCATTGTGAATCTGAAGAATAGCTTTAGCTCTGTGTATTTTATTATTGGATTAAGGATTTCATTCATTAAGTGTGTTTATTTTCCAGGCAGACTAGATAGTACTCTGGCACATAGTATCAGTCTCCGGTGTGGTACGAACCCATTTAACGTCATCAGCCATGTCCCATATTATACCCATCATTTAAGTCAAGTGAGCACCCCCACCACCAACCATGTCCCCAACCCTGTCCACATTATCTTCTTATGACAAGCATGGGTGCTAGGGTTCCGATTTTGTCGACTCATACAACTCACAATGTCGCTGGGGACACATTCTACCCCAGGTTCTCACAGGAAGAATGGAGAAATGGGGACTATTCGGCATTTGTGATTAAACAGATTACTGACTAACCTTCTTCTAGACAAGCTATACAGAGTTTGGTGGCCTCAGAGGTGAAGTCCTTGTCAGCCGACCCAACCATCATCAGGTGCCAGCTCATCTTCAGGACAATCTGTAAGACAGCATCGTACAGTCTCATCAACTATATCTCATCTTGATGTGGCCCTAAGTGAGCAGGGCGTGGTGAAACCCATAAGCACGGTGCCGACCCATAAGTATAAGTACTGAACACAACACCCAGGGATACCATCACAGACATCAACCAAGTCAGCCAGCCTGACCACCCTATCCCGTTAGTCGCCTCTTACGACAAGGATAGTCACATTTTACGGCAAGCATGGGTTGCTGAAGACCTATTCTACCCCGGATCTTCAATGGTCCACGATATATTGAATATGTATTTTTTAGAGTAAAAATATCATTTATACTTATCCTGACTCATACTTATTGCTTATCTCTCTCTCTTCCGAATAGGTAGTGGAAACGTCCTGTGCTGTTCCCAAAGAACAGAGAAAAACAGCTCACCCAAACGCACCCTCACTCTGCGCATGCGCACCGGAACCATGTGACCAAGCCCAGTAACTCATCACTCTCTCTTGTTTCCTACTTAATGGTCGAAACACATCAGTGGAAAGAGGGGAAGGTCGGGAGGGTACTCATTCATATGAGTCAGGATAAGTATAAATGATATTTTTACTCTAAAAAATACATATTTTATCTTATCCTGACTCATACTTATTGCTTGAATCTCACAGTAGGTGGTGGGTTTCACCTGTATGTGTGATAAACGTCGATCTGTTCTATAAACCCCATAGGAACGTTGTTAATCTTCTGTGTAAATTCTTAATTGGGGACCACCTTCCTTTTTTGTGAGCAGCAAAATGGAAGTAAATCATATAGATTTGTGGATTTATAAGGTTTCTAAGATAAATCTTGTTCACCTTAAACGATTAGGGTGTTAAGAGAAGAGCAATAATCTTAACACAATCATTTCTCACTCATGTGCTGAATTACATAGTAAAACAGGAGACATGGACTCTCAGTCGTTGGTTATGTAACAGTAACCTGACGTCAACAAGTCTACGTGATATTGGGTGAGTGTGATCTTCTAATGTCGTCTGGTAGGATTCGTGAGTTGTTGTGCCACAACTAATGGTCCGAATTGGTGAATACCAGCTAAGTCTTCTGTCGCAAGGTCTCTGAGGTAGTGATTGGCGAAAACTGTATCTGATTTCCAGAAACAGCCTTCCATAATAGTTGTTATGGAGCAGTTGCCGTGAAGTGCCAAAGTTGAGGCTAAGGCTCTTACTTCGTGCGGGTTGGAGGCTGAAGGGGGGTCCAATCCCGCTGCTCTGTATGCTCTGAGAATAACAGCTCTCATCCAAAATGAGATAGTTGTTCTGGATACCTCTGTGTGTGTATTCCTTAATAAAGGAATAAATAGTCTCTTAAAACCTTGTCTTCTAGGTTTAGACTTTTGTAGGTATAATCTTAAGGCTCTGACTGGGCATAGTGATAAATCCTCTGTATCCTCTGCACCAAGGACGGAGGAAAGAGCCGGAATGTGGAATTGCCTGTCTGGTTGGCCTGGTAACTGGTTCTTTGCAATAAAGTCCCATCTTAAGCCAAGGTGCGCTGATGAGTTGTTACCACTGTCAAATGTGATACGATTGAAATCTATCGCATGGATTTCAGACATTCTGGCTGCCGTAGCTAATGCCAGAAGAAATAGGGTTTTCTGCGTCAGGTGTTCAAAGTCGGCCTGTTGGAGCGGTTCGTATGCATCACTGGTTAGGTGTTGTAGCACTATATTTAGGTCCCATGCCGGGGCTCTAAATCTTTTCTGTTGGTCCTCAAGTCTGAAGGATCTGAGTAGGGCTATCAGCTCGGGAACTTTAGTAAGTTTTATCCCGTTAGCCATTGTCAGTACAGAACTGATAGCGGCCAAATAAGTGCCCAGTGTCGAACCTTTAAGATTCCTTGTACTTCGTAAGTGACATAGGTAATCTGCTACTTGTGGTATAGTAGCTTTGGCTGCAGAAAAACCCTTGGATGTTGCAAACTGGTCAAAACTTTTCCATTTATCATCATAGAGATTCCTCGTTGATCTACGAAGTGCTAAGGAGACTGCCTTAGCTGCTCTTATGGAATATCCTCTTTTAACGAGACTGCTCTTGATATGCTCCATACGTGAAGTTCGTAAAGATCTGGTCTTGGATGGACCTGATTGGAGTGTGGATGTAGCAGTAGATTTGGCCAGTTTGGAAGTTTTAACATTGGATTCCCTGCTAGTTCGACGAGATCTGGAAACCACGTTCTCGCCGGCCAGTAAGGCGCTACCAAAAGCAGTTGTAGGCTGCTTGTGTGTAGGATCTTTTGTAATATCTGTGGTATCACGGCTGGTGGAGGAAACGTGTATGCATTTAGTCCTTCCCATGATATTGACAGAGCATCGACTGACCAAGCTAGTGGGTCTGGCCCTGGTGATACAAACGTTGTTATCTGATTGTTGAATCTGGTTGCAAATAGGTCTATCAGTGGGCAACCTTTCTCTTTTATTGCCAGTTGGAATGCTTCTGGGTGTAGCTTCCATTCTGTCGGTGATGGTTTGGCTGGCCTGGATAAGGCGTCTGCTAAGACATTTGCCACTCCTGGTATATGTCTTGCCTTTATTGTTAAGTTCAGATTGTCTACTAGCTCGTAAAGTTGAAATGTCAACTTCAGGAGGGTCTCCGATTTTGTCGTGCCTTGAAGGTTTATATTGTATGCCACAGTTGAATTGTCTGTTCTGATCATCAGCTTAACTGTGGGGCCCAGTGAAATATTGCACGGATTACTGCCTCGTATTCCAGATAATTGATGTGGTAGAGCTTTTCTGCTTCTAACCATATGCCTGCTGTTACTTCTCCATTGAAGTGAGCTCCCCAACCTTGAAGTGAGGCGTCCACGAATAAGTGGTTGTTGTAATCCGGCTCGTTTAAACAAGTTCCTGCGCAAACGTTCGATTTCACTGTCCACCATAAGAGGTGTTTCCTCAAAGTTTGTGGTAGTTGCAGTTTTAAATCCTGATACTCTAGGTATGGATTTATAAATCTCTGAATAGGGCGTAAGTGTAGTTTGCCTCGGACCGTCAACGCTTGGGCTGACGTGAGTAAGCCTAGTATCACTTGCCATTCGTTGACTGAGATTTTCTTGTAAATTGCTGTTGGCAAGCAAGTCTTGATTTTTATCCACCGATCTTCTGGTACCATTATTAGGTTCTGATTGGTTAGAAATCTGATCCCCAGAAATTTGAGGTCCTGAGATGGTTGTAGATCGGACTTCTGAAAATTTATTAACCAACCCAGTTGCGTTAATAATTTCAGGGTGAAATTCAGTTGTAGTCTGAGTACCTCTCTTGATTGATGGGCTTGTATCCCGTCGTCTAGGTAAAAAGCACAACGAATTCCCTTGTTGTGAAGAAATGTCACAATTGGTTTGGTCACTCGTGTAAATAGCCACGGGGCCGTGGAAATTCCAAAGGGCAGGACCGCCCACTGGTAATGTTGTCCTTTGAAGAGGAAACGTAAATATTTCCTGAAAGTCTGTTTTATGGGAATGTGTAGGTAAGCATCCTGTAGATCGATGCTTGCGAGAAAGTCGTGCTGTCTTATCATCTGCTTTAGTTATGGTAAATGAATCATTCTGAACTTCTCCGGTTGTGGGAGGTATTTCTTGTTGAATTTCCTCATGTTGTAAATCAAACGAAACTTTCCGTTTGAATTCTTTTTGGGAACCAGAAAGATCGGTGAGTAGAAACCCGGCGTTAGTAATTCTGGTTGAATTTTCTCGACTGCGCCCTTGTTGAGAAGTGAATTGATTGCTTCGGTCAACTTCGGCAAAAGTTCTTTCCGATAACGTATTACCGGTGGCTTGCGAGATAACGGGGGTTTCTCGACTAAAGTCGGAGCGTAGCCTTTTCTTAGAATGTTGGAAACAAATTCGTCTCCTAGAATGTCCCAATTCATCCAAAATCTTGCCAATCTTCCACCTACTGGGGAATGCTGTACACGAACGGCTGGGGGGGGAAGTTCCCAGTCGTTCATCAGCCCATCTTCATCGGTAATTGCGGGATCCCCTCGATCCGCGGCCGCGGCCGCGACCGGCATCACGTGACGTGTCATGTGACTTGCGAAAGGCAGATGATTTCCCGCCTCTGTAGTTATACGAGCGTTTCTCTTTAGCTTTTTGAATGCCCGTGAAACGGCTTTTGAAATGGGTTTTCTGCATGGATTGACGATACATAGAATTCATAGTCTGAACTGACTTGATCAGCATATGATCTTTGGAGTCTTGAAGCACTTCTTTGTTGATTTTCCGTATGTTACCATTAAAAATGGTTGGGGACTCCCAGGGTTGTCTTAATAATTCTTTGGTATAGGTATCTGACCAATTAGAATTATTTATAAGACCTTGTCGTCGTAGTAGTGTTAACCCTGCCGACACTGAGCTCATATGATCAGAAATAATTTCTTGATTTTTCTTTTGATTGACGAGCGCTGAAAGTAACATTCTTTCACGGTCGTTCTGAGGCTCCTTTAATTCATAGCTCATAGCTTCATTCATAGCGTGTGACATCGCTAGTCCAAAGAATGCATGTCTTGTAGTCGTATCAAGTTGTGCAATTTTCTTATCCTCAATGCGATAGGCTTTACTTTTGGAGTCTGACATAAGTGAGTAATCCTCATCAATCTCCGGTGAGCGAAGAAATTGCGACATGGCGTGCATGGGGAATTTCTTAAAATTAAAGCTCGGTGTTGGAAGTCCTTGTGATTTCGTGGCTTTCGCAAAAGAAACATTAAGATTCTCTGCAATGTTGGAGATTGGCTTTATCGGTGGGATGGTTAGTGTGTCTATATCGTCCCCTTTGATACAGTATGTATCAGTGGGAGAAGAATTTCTTGACGGTGATGATATCGGTAGTCTATCCGTAATCCACGCCAATAATTCATGATCCTCATAAATTGAAGGGTAATTCTCCCCCGATGTGTCGTCATCTTGAGGGGGCTCGAACACATCCTCCTCTCGCAGAAGATAGGAGGCGTTAGGATTCGGAGCCGTAAATGAAGGCTGCGACATCTGCGAGCTATTGTGTGAAGAGGTAGTCGACTGCGTGCCAGGTTGTTTACACATTTGTTGTTGCATAGCCATTACAACTTGCTGAGTGATATTTGCTATCATATCTGTGTTAATAGCAGGCGTTGGCAAAGTACCTTGTGTAAAAAAGGTAGGCTGCGTGAAGGTAGTTGGCAGTGTAAACCTTGAAGGCTGCGCGAAGGCAGGAGCCTGCGCGAACGCTGGCGTCTGTGTATACTCTTGTTGATTAATAGCCTGCGCGAAGGTAGGGGATTGCGTAATTGTTGTGTTGGGCTGCGCGAAGGCCGGTATCTGCGCGAAGGTCTGGGGCTGATTGAGGTTTATATCGGCTGTATTTGTAGCCTGATTGGATGACACTGCGGGCTGCGCGAACCTCTGGGGTTGTGCGGACGTAATTGTCTGCGCGCAGGCTTTCTTCTGGCGAGAAGAAACGGCTGATTTTTTTTTTGAAATCCCCTTCGTGACTACAGACGAAGTCTGTGGTTTTGTTGAGGTAATAACCTCTGCAAAAACATGCTCTCTCCTAGGGGAAGACGGCTTCAAAGTAGACGATGCAGCACTCTTTTTCTTAGCTAATTGTTGCAGATTGATCGCCTGACTGAAACTTTCAGTAGGTTTATTCCTAGACCCTCCAGACTTCTTACTGGTGGACGAGGAAGTAAGATGGGGGGTGACTGCATCATCTTCAGCGGGAGTTATTTGAATAATATCAAATTCGAATTCCTCTGACGAAGGGCAGGGCGTAGATTCTCGCCTCTTCTTACTTCTTGCCGTCTCCCCGGATGACAACGAGCGTGATGACTCACGTCGTTTTCGATCCATCTTTTTCCTCTGCACTGCACAAAGATAATTGCTAAATTCTTCCTTCCCCAAGGGGGCGCAGAATTTGCATCTATTCTCTGCAGTGCAGTTCTGTACTGTGCAGCTGGTACAGGTAGGATGAGGGTCCGAATCTGAAACACGTAATTTACATCGGTTACATGTTTTCATAACTCGAACGGGGCTGTCTTTAAGTCCAAATAACGAAAAATTCTAATGCCAAATATATAAAATAATCGTTAGATATGATGTATATAATACCACAGAAGATAATCCAAGCAAAAAATTTTGTTAAAAGGGTTAATTTTTAAGGAAAGCTTGGATTACGATGCACAGCAAAAAAATTTCCAGCTGCCAAGATGGAGCGAAAAAGAGAGAGTGATGAGTTACTGGGCTTGGTCACATGGTTCCGGTGCGCATGCGCAGAGTGAGGGTGCGTTTGGGTGAGCTGTTTTTCTCTGTTCTTTGGGAACAGCACAGGACGTTTCCACTACCTATTCGGAAGAGAGAGAGATAAGCAATAAGTATGAGTCAGGATAAGATAAAATTTGCAGCTATTTATCTTGAATTGCAAACTAAGTGCCCTTGGCCAATTGGAGCAAGATTGTTGCTTTCAAAGTTTTTTTAAACATGGCACTTTAAGCCTCTCCTTTCATCATGTTTATTGATTCTGTAGACTTGTTGGCATCTGAGCAAGTCTAGAAAACCAAAGACAACCAATAAAGTTCTGACACAATGTTTCACAATTCCGGTTTAATAACATCACTTTCGGTTAGGGAATATACATGGCCAATACAGGAAAATTCTGACACAGAAAAGACTATGCCTCTAACTACATATATAAAGGTTGTCAAATTCCATCATAAATGCTCAAGATATTGGGTATACACAAGCTTTTTGCAATGTCTTCTTCCCACCAAGCGACCTAGACCATCACCAGCAGACTATGGTTTGCAAAATATATAAAGTAAATGAGAAGACTCCATTTCAATTCAAAATGACCTCGACACAACATACAATAGCATTTCAGTGAGTTCCACTGATTGCAAAAACATTTAATATTTCATTGCTTAATTTGAAATTTCATGAAATTTGGACTGTTTCATAATTTGACCTCTAGTAATCCTAACCATATGTCAGAAACATTTCCTGAACGGTACATCTGTCATAAAGGTGTGGTTGAGAAAACCAACTAAGGTGGCGTTGGAGCTAAAATTCCATGACCTTCCAAGATTACCTGAAGAGTTTTGAAGGCCAGTTCCCCATCTTTCCGGGACCTCTTGCCCTCCTGCTGCAACTGAGGCACCAGTTCCTCCTGAGCCCAGATCAGCAGTTCAGTGAACTGTGGCTTGGGGTCAGTTTCCTCCTGAGAAACAAAGTACACAAGTTAGAATAGATTTGATTGGTGATAGATACTGAGGGCAATAATCCATGCCATCAGGTTACGATTGCAAGTCATCGAGCCATCGAGTCTGGCCACCTGATCGATTAAGTTGCCTCTTACGCCCAGCAAAGGTTGCTGGGGACCTAATCTAACCCAGATTACCCATGGGTCTAACAAGCCTATGGTTGATAGTGTGAGTATGGGCTAACAATGACACTTTTGTATCACCATATAATTTGTTGATTCACAGATCAGATTTAACTGCATTAATTTTGTCTCTGGCCTCCATAAATCAAACATTGTCAACGTGATCAAACGTTTTTCAAAGAGAAGTAAATGCTTGAATAGATAGTAAACATTATCATAACAGAATCTCCGTAACTTGAAGCAAAGTGAGTGAGTGAGTATTGTTCTACGCCACTTTTAGCAATATTCCAGCAATATCATGGTGGGGGACACCATAAATGGGCTTCACACATTGTACCCATGTGGGGAATTGAACCCGGGTCTTTGGCGTGACGAGCGAACACTTTAACAACTAGGCTACCCCACCGCCCCTTGAAACATAGAACATCTTAGATACAATACCTGTTTGTGTAGCAAAAGGGACACTCGAAGATACAGGAAGAAAGTCTTAAGAACAAAATCTTCATTGGCAGGATTGGTTTCTGTGTCTGCACTATTCATTGCTTTCAAAATCTCCTGTAAAACAAAACAAGAGCAAATTTTCAGATGGTTATTCTTGATGACGTTCATGTAAATGTATTGCCTCTATTCATGTATCAGTGTAACAATAACATCATAGTAAGTGATAAATACTGAAATGAGATAACTTCCAGACACTCAATAGCAGCAAACATATCCTGGTGTAAATTCATAACTCTGTCTTGGACTCCTTCAAGGCATACTTCTTGTAACAGTACAATCATACCACGCTCGCTCAAGCCAAAACGTCCAAAAACATGAAATGTTAAGTTGTAGCAGGATCATGAGGAGTACATGGGGTTTTATGCGTCCCGTTTAATGTTTTATGCTACGAGCCTCCGGCCACTTATCTGACCGACATGTTTTAATGTGACATTGTAAAAAACTGATAGAGAACAGCTGTTTGATTGAGCTGAGGTGAACTTGTGCTTTGTCACGGGACTTCCATTGACTCGACAAAAGCATATGGCTTATTGCTTTGAAGCAGGTCATAGGGGATTCATTCTGCTTCTCAGAAATTCATGTGCAGCCTGTACTGCTAGTGGCAGGATTTATACAAGATATTTATTCCCCTGCTGAAAAAAAATTTCCCCTCCAGGTGGGAAACACAGAATTTTATCAAGATCACGTGGACCAAGCAGATGTCATCCTTCTGACATGGAGGTATGATAAAGTATTTTATCAAGATCACACTGACTAATCAGATCTCATCATTCTGACATGGAGGTATGATAAAGTATTTTATCAAGATCACACTGACCAAGCAGATCTCATCATTCTGACATGGAGGTATGATAAAGTATTTTATCAAGATCACACTGACCAATCAGATCTCATCATTCTGACATGGAGGTATGATAAAGTATTTTATCAAGATCACACTGACCAATCAGAGCTCATCCTTCTGACATGGAGGTATGATAAAGTATTTTATCAAGATCACACTGACCAATCAGAGCTCATCCTTCTGACATGGAGGTATGATAAAGTATTTTATCAAGATCACACTGACCAAGCAGATGTCATCCTTCTGACATGGAGGTATGATAAAGTATTTTATCAAGATCACACTGACTAATCAGATCTCATCATTCTGACATGGAGGTATGATAAAGTATTTTATCAAGATCACACTGACTAATCAGATCTCATCATTCTGACATGGAGGTATGATAAAGTATTTTATCAAGATAACACTGACCAATCAGATCTCATCATTCTGACATGGAGGTATGATAAAGTATTTTATCAAGATAACACTGACCAATCAGATCTCATCATTCTGACATGGAGGTATGATAAAGTATTTTATCAAGATAACACTGACCAATCAGATCTCATCATTCTGACATGGAGGTATGATAAAGTATTTTATCAAGATCACACTGACCAATCAGATGTCATCCTTCTGACATGGAGGTATGATAAAGTATTTTATCAAGATAACACTGACCAATCAGATCTCATCATTCTGACATGGAGGTATGATAAAGTATTTTATCAAGATCACACTGACCAATTAGATGTCATCCTTCTGACATGGAGGTATGATAATACTGCTTGTAACTGTGTAAACGTACCACGCTGTGTTCGAGAGCCCCCATGGTGTGAGTCAAGGCATCCACATGGTCGACAAGTATAACCTCTCGACACAAGTCTTTCTCCAGCAGGATCTCCAGGTATTCCAGAGCTATTGGAGGTTCCGGTTTGATGGTCTCCTTCAGCATCACACACTTAGCACCTGCCTTCTTTTTCTGTTGGCCAGAATCAAAAAGGCATGTATTAAAAAACAAAGAAATCATTGTCAAATTAGATTTCTACGAAGTTACTTTCACATCTGTAAAACCAACATGTAGTGAGTGAGTGAGTATGGTTTTACGCCGCTTTTAGCAATATTCCAGCAATATCACGGCGGGGGACACCAGAAATGGGCTTCACACATTGTACCCATGTCGGGAATCGAATCCGGGTCTTCGGCGTGACGACCGAACGCTTTAAGCACTAGGAGCCCCGACCGCCCCTCCCAACATGTAAGAAAGTGGATTGTTTTTGTAATATTTTCACGGCATGCCAGGTTAGGTAAACCACTCTTAGACACTGAAAACTATTATAGTGGCCCTTACATGAGTGTTTTGAGACATGATCTAAGATTGTATATGCTTTTAATACCATGAATACTATGAAAATGTTGAAACTGACTTTGTCAATCTCTAAACTCCACCCCACTCAAAAGCATAAAAACTATATATGGCAGTTTACATTTTGGGAACATTTTTGGCCTACCTGGCCTGACTTAAATACCCAGGCGAGTTACAGTGATCTGGCACTATTTTGCATTGAAAATTGGATTCAAACCTCTTAAACAAATTGAATAAGAAAATGAACATTCAGCTTCACTGTCCAGTGGTTTCAGAGGAGAAGATGTTAAAGACGAATGATGCATGATATCTTGTTTTGTTTTATTTTATTTTTAAGAGATGTGACTTAAAAATATTTATGGCAATTATGCAGTCACTCTTAACACTAATGTATGAAATTTGTGTAGTGAGTAGTTCGGCTCAACAGACATTACTTCCTTTTGTTATTATTTAGATTTTGACCTTTCTGACCTTTGCACTTTGACCATGCTCTTCATTTTTTTCAAAATGCACTTTCTCGCACTCTAAACAGAAAACAGGTTTGTTCCAACCAACGATAACATGGGAATTTATTCAATAGTTGAATCCTTTTTTCAGCAGAAAAAAGCTATTTATGGCAAATAAGCAGCCATTTTTTAACAAACTGTAAAAGGAAATTTGGTATTCTTGGATTAGAGGCACTCACAACAGTGGATCCACCAGGCTTATACTCTGCAATAGTCTTTTCCTCCAAGCCTGCCTCCACAGACGTCTCGATCATCTCCAACATGGCGTTGCTGAAGCGCCATTTACACAGAGTACCGATGAAGTTCTGTAGGTGTGCCACCCCCATGTGGGTGTCTGTCGTCATGTTGCGCAGCTTCGACATGCAACTATCACTGCAAATAATGGCACAAGATCATTTCAATGTCATCTTTTCTACAACCCAGAGTGTCCGTTAGAACAAATACATTTGTCATTAACACAGTTGGCAGTGAATCAAAGTCGTATAGACGACACGGGTGCATATGTCTATGTGAGTGAGTGAGTGAGTGAGTGAGTGAGTGAGTGAGTGAGTGAGTGAGTGAGTGAGTGAGTGAGTGAGTGAGTGAGTGAGTGAGTGAGTGAGTGAGTGTTAAGGGTACTTTGTCCAGGATTTCAGTCATATCCCAGGGTGTCAGCTTGACGTGGGAGGAAAGCCCAATGTGATGTTGGTCTTAGATGTTTACTACTTTGGAGAAACCCACAAATGTCAAATTAAATCTCAGCCAAGGTTCCACCTACCTTAATACAGGCACTCTTGTTGCTGGCAAAAAGCCAGACAACAACATGATAGCAGCATAGGCTCTTGGTTCCTGGAAAACATACGAACATGTGAGAGTGAGTGAGTTGGGTTTAACACCGTTCTGAACATTTTCCCAGTTACATACATCATGTCAGCTTAATATGGGAAGAAAGCCCGAAATGATACAGGTCTCCGACTCTTATCACTTTGGTGAAAGCCACAAGCATAGGTATGTGCTGACAAACCTAGACACATAATCAGGTTGAACCAGGGTTTGAGTGAGTGAGTTGGGTTTAATGCCGCTTTTAACAGTATTCCAGTTATATTATGGCGTGTCAGCTTAATGTGGGAGGAAAGCCCCAAGTGATGCAGGTCTCAGACGTTTACCACTATGGTGAAACCCACGAGCACGGGTATGGTGCTGACAAACCTAGAAACATAATCAGGGCGAACCGGGATTCGAAGCCACAATCATAGGTTTCTGGCGTGCCCAAGGGACGCAACCCTGCACAGTGGCGCCTTAGACGACTGGGCCACCCGTTCCCCGCGAACATGTCTTAAAATACCCTATTGCAAAATCACTGCATGCGCGGTGAAAGGCAGTTCAGCATGAGGTGGATAATAAGATGTTGTAATCTAGAAGTCTGCCACCCATTCTTTTCATATAGACTTGCAACATCACATTCAGTTTCCGAATCACCAGGAATGTTATAAGAATCATTCCGTGTTGGTATATTCATATAAAATGTTTGCACAGATTTATTTGGCCAGAGGACATTCATCATTTGCTTCACCAAGAGATATGCATTCTAAGTGTGTCGTTGTACTAAAGTACACTGTACTAAAGTACAAGGAACTTGGAACCCTAAAGACACAGCATACCTGAAATATACGTAGCATCTGCGGTATGATCACACTGTAGCGTTTCTGCAACTCATGACGAACGTCAGTGTTTTGGGGCTGGAAGGAAAATCAGAAAATCACTTAAAAAACTGTAACATAAGTTGTTTTTTATGTAGCACCAAAGTTACAGGCAGATTTACTCAGTGCAAACAGGTCTTTACGTATATACGTTGAATAAGGTGCGCAATTTCTGAATACATTCGATCAATATATTCTGACTGTTTTAATATTTGAATGTATTTATGGCATAATAAAGACTGAAACTTGAAACTTGTCTTATTTGATAAGGACAAGCGCCCTTTGGCAGGACGAGCAGGAAAAAAATCAAACAAGCCCAATGGGGGCTATGGGCTTGTGTGGTTGCACTGACAGTTGCACTGACCGTGTGTAATTGCTTAGAGATGGCGTCCCACATGAGGTACATGGCCTCCACGAGCCCCATCATGACCTCAGAGTTCTTCAGGCTCAGCTCATCCTCCTCCTCCTCATCACTCCCTGCCTCCTGGAGTCACAACACAATCACAGTCTGTGCCATTTCAAGCCCAATATAGTTTATTGGCAATCTTTCAAAGCTCTTGATGTGTATCAATATATGGGCAGAGCTTACAAGACAGGCAATTTACTAGATTTGGGTTTCGGACTGGTGTCTAAAGCAGCCTTATTTCAGGAGTAATCAGTGTTTGTAGCTGGCGATACTTGAACAAGACAAAAATGTTTACAATGTTTACACATTTTATTCAGTTCCAATTTGTAGCTTAATTAAAGCATTGAGAACTGGTTCATAAATATAGCCCTAAAGCTACTAGTCAATGCGGACTACCATCAATTGTCTTGGACTTGTAGACTACTAAGAATTTGTAACATTGATAAATATGAAGATGGCAATCAAATATAACACATCAGGGTATAGTCCCTCCATTGTCTGGGTCCTGTTTAGACCTTTACATGACTAGTAGCAACATGCAGTTATTGTATAGAAGAAGGTGTATTGAGTTCCACTTAAGCATTTGTTCAGCTATATGGCTGAAATAATGCTGATGCAACGTTAAATTTTAACTCACTCACTCACTCACCCATTTGTTCAGGGTTCGTATTTTTTTATTGAAACTTATTTGATAGAAAGAAATCTCCATATCCATATCCTTACACCAGCAAAGATTCTATGATTGGAAAGACATCACTATAGCCTTACACCTGCAAAGATTCTATGATTAAAAAGACATCACTATATCCTTACACCTGCAAAGATTCTATGATTAGAAAGACATCTCTTTATCCTTACACCTGCAAAGATTCTTTGATTAGAAAGACATCTCTATATCCTTACACCTGCAAAGATTCTTTGATTAGAAAGACATCTCTTTATCCTTACACCTGCAAAGATTCTGATTAGAAAGACATCACTATATCCTTACACCAGCAAAGATTCTTTGATTAGAAAGACATCACTATATCCTTACACCAGCAAAGATTCTTTGATTAGAAAGACATCACTATATCCTTACACCTGCAAAGATTCTATGACTAGAAAGACATCACTATATCCTTACACCTGCAAAGATTCTGATTAGAAAGACATCACTTTATCCTTACACCAGCAAAGATTCTTTGATTAGAAAGACATCACTATATCCTTACACCAGCAAAGATTCTATGACTAGAAAGACATCACTATATCCTTACACCAGCAAAGATTCTTTGATTAGAAAGACATCACTATATCCTTACACCTGCAAAGATTCTATGATTAGAAAGACATGTCTTTATCCTTACACCTGCAAAGATTCTATGATGAAATACACAAAACGTCCAGCCTCATAATCACAGTTATGACTGAATATCAGACTCTCAAGTCTTTGATAGGCGTTAAAAAGCTGAATCTTCAGGAAAAGCAGCAAGAAGTAGCTCTGAAACGTCATGACAAAGAATAAAAGTGTCATGTAATCGTATAAGATTCAGGCTTTTTCATGTTTCCAAAGCCTAAGAACCCTTGTGATTAAACACATGTTATCCTAAGCAGAATAGTTATGTAAATAATGTGTTCCTTATCGTATGTGGTGAGTGAGTGAGTGAGTGAGTGAGTGAGTGACTGAGTGACTGAGTGACCAGGTGGGTCTTGTGAACGGCAGTTAATGGGTTTTCTTGCAGTTGAATGTCCAACTGATCTATCATCTTCATCAGGCAAGAGCATCCACTAGCCTTTTTATCAAAGTCTTGTTTCCTCCCTTGCCACATCAAGCCCGCTTACCTGTGCTAAATATGATTGGGCTATCGCACATATCTATAGTCCAATCAGAGAATGTGTCACAAAAATCAACATCCACGACTTGTACACCTTCGTATGAAAGTAATTTACCGCTGCCTGTCTTTGTTGACACGTCTTTTTTATCTTTTAAACCCCCCAATGATCGCCTTTGTTTTTATGTCAGGGATGAAACCGCAAATATTTTCGTTATCCGATTGACTATGTCGCCTATGGTAGTCGCCATCTTTGTAAATATAAACGAGATAAGAACAGGGATCTGATTGGATATCGAATATTCATTACAAGGGGCACAAGTCGTGATCTAAGTGAAGTTGCGCCAGGGTCAAGTCAAGAAAAGTGGCCTTGATGTCACAAGGGTAGAAATTTGGCTTTGATATAGGCTAGTGGACACGGTTGCCTCGGGAAGATGCTGATCTATAGGAAAGAAATGTACAATACATACAGCATTGGCATTACTGTCTTCTTTGGGTAGACTGGTTGTGGTGTCATTGGCGGAGCTGGCTGTGCTTTCATTGTGATCCTCACTGGCAGTCTCAGCATGGTTTCTCTTGATTAGCACCAGCATCACACGAGACAGCAGAGTCAGGTACTTCACTGAAACAAACAAGAATGGTGTCCACCAAGATTCATGACAAGTTCAGTAAGATGCAGCATAAGCTGTTTTAAAGAGGAATTTTACCCTGTAGCCCTTTTCAAATCCAAAATACATGGATACCTACTTCACTTCATTTAAGGAAACACTCAAGTGCTAAGAAATGGAAATAGTTCCACAGCACTGTAGCTCACCTGGATATGTGAACAAAGACAGCATAAAAAATAAATACTAATAACTTACACTAAAATCTAACAACTTGCACAAACGGCACAGATATGCTGAGCATCCACTACTAACAACATATGTACCAAAATTTCTTACATTTTGAACGAGGAATAACCATAAATAATTTTTCAATGTGGTAAAAGTACAAAGACTTATTTTTGGTCAAAATATAAAATATAGCGAATAACTGAGCATATCAACTGACCCTTTACCAATTTTGAAAGAAAATTGCTGAATATACAAAGTTTTCAGCTTTCAGTATGGTTGAAGTGAGTTCAAATCGATGTCACAATATATCAGATTGTGGAAAAGGAACATATATGTTGATTCCCACAACTAATTACACATATACCAAATTATTCAAATAATATTATTCATATTAAAAAAAAACACTGTCCAAGTAATGGCAATACACAGGTTTTCAATATAGCGTCAATATTGAAAATAAAAATCGAACCTCATGAGTGAGTGAGTGAGTATGGTTTTACGCCGCTTTTAGCAATATTTCAGCAATATCACGGCGGGGGACAACAGAAATGGGCTTCACACATTGTACCCATGTCTGGAATCGAACCCGGATCTTCGGCGTGACGAGCGAATGCTTTAACCACTAGGCTACCCGCCCTTTCATGAAGAAACTGGGGTGTCATATCATAAGAGGGAACAAGTATGTGAAGTTTCAGTTTCAATGGTCCACTGGTTTCTTAGAAGATGTTTATGCTCGACAAAACACCTGACTTGATAATAACTGAAGGAAATCCTGATGTGAAACCATCATTTTTCACTTCATTTTCACCCTGCAACGACGGTTTGTTTGTTTGCTTGGTGTTTTTACGCTGCACTCAGCAATATTCCAGCTATATGATGGTGGTCTGTAAATAATCGAATGTCTGGACCAGACAATCCAGTGATTGATATCATGAGTATCAATCTACACAACTTGGATACGGTGAAATGCATCAACCAAGTCAGCAATCCTGACCACCCGATCCTGTTAGTCGCCTCGTACGACAAGCGTAGTCGGCTTTTACAGCAAGCATGGGTTGCTGAGGACCTATTCCACCCCAGACCTTCAAGGATCATGCAACGATGGAAATTAGAAAAACATTTGGGGCACCTGTTGGAGTTTGGCACTTACTACATTATCTATGGTAACCAGGCCTCTCACCTATAGCAAGATAAGTGTTAAATTCTGGGGTACCTGATTCCTCAAACTTGAGCTCACTCGGTGCATACTGGAAGAACTTCCTGGCTGCCCCAGCATCCTCCTTGATGAGGTGAGTGAGCCGTGAAATCTTCTCCTCCGTGGTCTGCTCCAGCGGCATGTAGCTGTTGATGAGGAGCTTGACTATCTTCTTACACACAGCAGCGGAGTCCTCCTTCAGCCTGGCCAGCAGGTGCTCCACTGGCACGATCGTCCAGAACTACAGGATGGACATACGATGGGCACAGGATGGACATACGATGGGCACAGGATGGACACAGGATGGAAATACGATGGGCACAGGATGGACACAGGATGGGCACAGGATGGACACAGGATGGACATACGATGGGCACAGGATGGACACAGGATGGACATACGATGGGCACAGGATGGACATACGATGGGCACAGGATGGACATACGATGGGCACAGGATGGGCATAAGATGGGCACAGGATGGACATACGATGGGCAAAGGATGGACACAGGATGGACATACGATGGGCACAGGATGGACATACGATGGGCACAGGATGGACATACGATGGGCACAGGATGGACATACGATGGGCAAAGGATGGACACAGGATGGACATACGATGGGCACAGGATGGACATACGATGGACACAGGATGGACATACGGTGGACATCAGTCTCAAACTTAGTCATCTCAACAGTCATAGGTCCTTCTCATTACCCCAAATGTTAACGGTAAAAGATTAATTGTAAAGAATAAAATTTTTTTATGCCACATTATTCCAGCCATATGACAGTGGACTGTAAATAATCAGTTTGGACCAGGAAATCCAGTGGTTAACGCTATGAGCATCGATCCACACATTGGGATATGATGACATGCATCAACCATGCATGACCATGTCTTATTTTAAAAAAGCAAGTGTCCTCATAAATAAATAATTCAGGGCAAAACTATACTTTATTACTCTACACGTGGGGGTAGAGCAAACTTTATTACTTTAAGAAGCTGATTTTAAGACTAACCTTGTTTTTATTAGAAAATCCTCAAACAGGATAACAATAATACTGTGATACATATTGCTATATATAATAATTAACATACTGCTATGTTTTATTCCACATACACTGCCATACACTGGTTTCCCCTTTTAGGGAACTATCTCAAGGTTGAATGGTCCAGCTGCCATGTGAAACCATAACAGCTCTTAACCAAGGGAGGTAACACAGTGACAAATATTATGCGTACAAGAAATGTGAGATAAGCTGTGCCAGGAGGATTTTAACTAACTTCATTATTAATAAAACCAAAAAGAAATACACTAATTTCCATATTTTCTCAACATAGCAACACATTTAGATCACATAGCAACACATATATATGAGGGTTTGTATCACTGTGTACTGATAATACTGTGCAGTCATATTTGCGATAGTAAGAATTATCCCTGTATCCCTGTTAAGTAGAATATAACACTAGAGACAGCATGCTTTACCTTGATTGCCCGGATTTTCTTGACCTTGAGAAGAAGGTCCAACATGGCCTTCCTGACGGACTCGGACAGATCATGGACGTGGTCTCTCATTGTGGGCAGCACCTGCTTCAGCAGCGGGTGGCACAGATGGTTGTCCAGCAGATCAGTCAAACCCTGTAAGTGGAAGGCACATAGAATATATAACGCTGCCAGTGGATATACAGTATTAATTACCCTGTCAGTGGAGGGAATATAGAATATATAATGCTGCCAGTGGACAAACAGTATTAATTACCCTGTCCGTGGAGGGAATATAGAATATATAACGCTGCCAGTGGACAAACAGTATTAATTACCCTGTCAGTGGAGGGAATATAGAATATATAACGCTGCCAGTGGACAAACAGTATTAATTACCCTGTCCGTGGAGGGAATATAGAATATATAACGCTGCCAGTTGACATACAGTATTAATTACCCTGTCAGTGGAGGGTACAGAGTATATATAACGCACCCAGTGGACAAACAGTATTAATTACCCTGTCAGTGGAGGGCACATAGTACATATAACGCTGCCAGTGGACATACAGTATTAATTACCCTGTCAGTGGAGGGCACATAGTACATATAACGCTGCCAGTGGACATACAGTATTAATTACCCTGTCCGTGGAGGGAATATAGAATATATAAGGCTGCCAGTGGACAAACAGTATTAATTACCCTGTCCGTGGAGGGAATATAGAATATATAACGCTGCCAGTGGACAAACAGTATTAATTACCCTGTCCGTGAAGGGAATATAGAATATATAACGCTGCCAGTGGACAAACAGTATTAATTACCCTGTCCGTGGAGGGAATATAGAATATATAACGCTGCCAGTTGACATACAGTATTAATTACCCTGTCAGTGGAGGGTACAGAGTATATATAACGCACCCAGTGGACAAACAGTATTAATTACCCTGTCAGTGGAGGGCACATAGTACATATAACGCTGCCAGTGGACATACAGTATTAATTACCCTGTCAGTGGAGGGTACAGAGTATATATAACGCACCCAGTGGACAAACAGTATGTAAAATCCTGTCAGTGGACACATAGTACATGTAACCCTATAAGTGGAGGACTATACCCCATGTCAGCAAGTGTCATAGCCTGTTTTGAACAGCTGCAAATGGAATTTAGAGTCATTCCCCCCTTGGTTGTTTACAAACATGGCATTCTTGATCATTCAAGAAGTTTTGGGATGGGACAGTTTCTAGATATAAACTTCTTAGGCTGAACAAAAAGAATTTGTTTGTTGTTTACTGCACCACTGATCAATAAACCAGCTACATGACAGTGGGATGTAAATACGTTTGGACCAGACAAACCGGTGCTTCATAAATCAGGAACATTCCATTCTGTTGGATATGACATGCAAACACTGAGTCTGTAGACCACACAAACCAGTGATTAGTAAATCAAGAACAGACGTTGGATAAGACATTCAAGCATGGAGCGTGACCACCCAATTCATTCATTCATCTTGTAAGACAAGCATAGGTTGCTGGAGACCTATTCTCATCTGGAATCGCCATGGGACCTGTCCCCTAATCTTGCTGATGCCTAGTGTGATACTCACCCTAACAACACTGAGGCGGACTTCCGCAGAGTTGGCATCATTGAGATGATCCTGTAGAAGCTTGGTGATGAACATCTTGATGGTGAGGTTGGGCAGGAGCTCCCAGTAGCTGGACATGATGCGACACACCCCCTCTACAGCGATACGCCGAGCCACAGGGTAGTCGTCATACAAGGCAGTCTGCAGGAGGAACAAGTTAGTCATACAACAGGGTTCTACAGGATGTGACACACCCACTCTACAGTGATACGCCGAGCCCCAGGGCAGTCTGCAGGGGGAACAAGTTAGTCATACAACAGGGTTCTACAGGATGTGACACACCCCCTCTACAATGATACACCGAGCCACAGGGCAGTCTGCAGGGGGAACAAGTTAGTCATACAACAGTGTTCTACAGGATGTGACACCCCCCCTCTACAGCGATAAGCCGAGCCACGGGGTAGTCGTCATACAGGGCAGTCTGCAGGAGGAACAAGTTAGTCATACAACAGGGTTCTACAGGATGTGACACACACCCTCTACAGCGATATGCCAAGCCACGGGGTAGTCGTCATACAGGGCAGTCTGCAGGGGGAACAAGTAAGTCATACAACAGGGTTCCACAGTATGTGACACATTCCCTCTACAGTGATACACCGAGCCACAGGGCAGTCTGCAGGGGGAACAAGTTAGTCATACAACAGGGTTCTACAGGATGTGACACACCCACTCTACAGTGATACGCTGAGCCACGGGGTAGTCTGCAGGGGGAACAAGTTAGTCATACAACAGGGTTCTACAGGATGTGACACACCCACTCTACAGTGATACGCCAAGCCACGGGGCAGTCTGCAGGGGGAACAAGTTAGTGTTACAACAGGGTTCTACAGGATGACACCCCCCCTCTACAGCGATACGCTGAGCCACGGGGTAGTCGTCATACAGGGCAGTCTGCAGGGGGAACAAGTTGGTCATACAACAGGGTTCTACAGGATGTGACACACCCACTCTACAGTGATACGCTGAGCCACGGGGTAGTCTGCAGGGGGAACAAGTTAGTCATACAACAGTGTTCTACAGGATGTGACACACCCACTCTACAGTGATACGCTGAGCCACGGGGTAGTCGTCATATAGGGTAATCTGTAGGGGGAACAAGTTAGTCATACAACAGTGTTCTACAGGATGTGACACACCCACTCTACAGTGATACGCTGAGCCACGGGGTAGTCTGTAGGGGGAACAAGTTAGTCATACAACAGTGTACTACAGGATGTGACACACCCACTCTACAGCGATACGCCGAGCCACAGGGTAGTCATACAGGGTTCGTGGGTGCATTCATGCAAGTTCTTTTCACTGTGTTATGGATATCTAAGATAAGAAAATTGCACAATGTCGTAGCAGGACAGTAATAATTTAAAAATTTAGATGTACCTTTACAAAAATACTGAAGAAGAAAAATTTGAGGACTTTAAGGACTTTTTCAGACTCTTACCAACAACGCTTCACACTGTCTGTTGATCAGTTCATCCTTCTGCACGGGGCAGGTCAGCGGGAACACATCACACAGCAAGAAAGTAGCATTTGCTCTCACATCACAGTTGGGCACCTTGTGACAAAAACCGAATATTTATGAAACTGTATACAGGATGTTTTTACTAACTAGCTGCATTAAGCTGAAAAAGGAAGAAATGGGGTTCTCAAATTTCAATTTATGGGAAACTTGATTATCGTCAGATCATAGGTTTTTGGACATCATGCGTTTTCGGTCAGTCATGTTTAACGCGATTACTCGCGCTATAACAAAGGGTGTGGCAACACACAGACATTGTAAATAATCAGATGATGACCTGTTTTTAACATAAAGTCATCTTTGATAAGTGAGTGACATGTTTAACAGTTGTTCTTGCGCTAAACGAGAAAATTACAAATGTTTCTTAAGCGTCCGAAAACCCATAACAAATACAGATACAGATACAAAGTGCTTGTATTGTTTAACAGTCCTGTGAGTTATAACCAGTTGCATCTTAACCTGAAAACTTTCCAGCCCCAATAGTGACAACATGATCGACACCCACTAAAACCCCCTGAATTCCACTTGTCATTAGGATACCTTAACATAAGACGAAATGACGGGTTAGAATAGGTCTTCAGCAACCCATGCTTGTTGTGAGAGGTGACTAACAGGATCAGGTGGTCAGGCTCGCTGACTTGGTTGATGCATGTCATTGTTTCCCAATTGCGTGGATCAATGCTCATGATGTCAATCATTGGATTGTCTGGTCAAGTCTCGATTATTAACAGACCACCGTCATATAACTGGAATATTGCTGAGTGCGGTGCTAAACAACAAACAAGAATGTGCCCCTATTGCTATGACACCTCCGTCAAGGATGTGCCTCTATTGCTATAACACCTGTCAAGGATTTTGCCCCTATTGCTATGACACCTGTCAAGGATGTGCCCCTACTGCTATGACACCTGTCAGGGGTTTGCCCCTATTGCTCTGACATCCCTGTCAAGGATGTTCCCCTATTGCTATGACACCTGTCAAGGATTTTCCCCTATTGCTATAACACCGGTAAATGATAAGCCCTATTGCTATGACACCTCTGTCAAGGATGTGCCCCTATGGCTATGACACCTGTCAAGAATTTGCCCCTATTGCTATGACACCTGTCAAGGATTTTGCCCCTATTGCTATAAAACCTCTATCAAAGATGTGCTCTATTGCTATGACACCTCTATCAAGGATGTGCCCCTATTGCTATGACACCTCTATCAAAGATGTGCCCCTATTGCTATGACACCTCTATCAAGGATGTGCATACTCACATTGAGTGACCGCCACAGGATGGGGTTGTACAGCTTCAGCAGCATATCAGTAACTCCTGTCTGTATCTTCTGGTTGTGTATGTACTGCAGCAGCTGTGCGGGACATATACATGACTTTATCATTTCTCCATGTCAGAATGATGACATCTGATTGGTCCACGTGATCTTGATAAAATACTGTATAACCCTCCTTGGAGGGTAAAAAAATTCTCAGCAGAGGAATAAATCTCTTATACCCTGCCACAAGCACTACAGGCTGCACGTGCATTTCTGAGAGACAGAATAAATCCCTTATACCCCACTTCAAAGCAAAAAGCTGCACGCTTTTTCCGAGTCAATGGAAGTCACGTGACTCAGCGCAAGCTAACCTCAGCTCAATTTTTTTCTATCAATTTTGAATTTATGTTAATTCTTTTACATTGGAGCACTCAAACATGTGGGTAAGATAAATTCCTTGTAGTAGGATCACTCGGGGTACATGGGGTTTTATGCATCCCACGTTAGGTTTTGTAACACTCACCTCCAGCTTGTGGTTTAAAACCCATGTACCTCTCATGATCCTGCTACAACTTATGTTGTACCCACACAATAAGTAACACAGTGTTCATGGCTTGACATAGTCACTGTAGCATGCATTCAATATTTAAATATTGTTTACATTTTCTACTGTATTCATTTGACTTTCCAAGCAAGTGAGTGAGTATGGTTTACGCCACTTTCAGCAATGTTCCAGCAATATTGTGGTGGGAGACACCAGAAAATGGACTTCACACATTGTACCCATGCGGAAAATCAAACCCGAGTCTTCAGCGTAATGGGGCCAACACTTTAACCACTTGGCTACCCCATTGCCCCTTTCCAAGCAAGAGCAAGGTTAATACATTGATTCTGACACAAATTTCATCAAATTTAGTAAAACACGCAATTTCAATAATATCTTTAGCTGTAGTGAATATGTTTGTCATATAGATAATCCTAAGAAAACCCACACTGAGAAGCAGGCAGTGTCCAAATGACGTCATTACAATGTCGGTCAAAGCCTGCAATGCAGTAGTGCACATAAAATCATTATTACATGTGTTAACCCTATGGAATTCTATTGAGGATGTGTGCTGGTATTATTTTTGTTTACTGCGCAACTCGAACTGTAATGTACTGTGAGACCTTTAACGACTTATTTTCAGTCAGTCTGTTGTCTATTTGAAGCCATGAAACAATGAACAGACTTAAGTCACATTGTCAGCTTAATATAACCAAAGAAAAGAGCGATTTAGTATCATGTTACACCAGGTAGTATACTGCGTCCAGCAAAAGTGTAGCGTCCCAATGTCATTAAACTATGACTACACTGCATTGTCACTCTGTGGCGTGACGTCATCCCAGTATATGATGTCATGCAATGGAATGTGAGTTGTTCCCCTATATGCCTTAAAGTAAAGTGCGTGAGTTGGGTTTAACGCCAATTTGAACACTAGTTCAGTTATATCAAGGTGTGCTTAGGAAAGGGTGAATTGACAAGGTAGTGCAATAAAATGCACACTAACCACTAGGGCTGGCTATCGATACACATCATAGAGATCGATAATCGTTACCTAAATATTGATCAATTATCAATAAATATTGGAGAAGCAACTTTGAGCGTGACAAGCGTACGCCTTAACCATAAGGCTACTCGACCGCCCCCAAAACAAAATTGGTTAGTTGGTTGGTTTGTTGCCGCATTCAGCAATATTCAAGCTATATGATGGCGGTCTGTAAATAATCGAGTCTGGACCAGACAATCCAGTGGTTGACGTCATGAGCATCGCTCCACACAATTGGGAAACGATGACATGCATCAACCAAGTCAGCGAGTCTGACCACCCGATCCCGTTAGTCGCCTCTTACGACAACCATAGTCGCCTTTTACGGCAAGCCTGGGTTGCTGAAGACCTATTTTATCCGGATCTGCAAGGGGTCCCCAAACAAGACGTACCCGTGACAGCAGTGAGAATATGTTGGTTCCTTCTCTCCTGGCATGAACAGCATGAGTCATCAGGTTCTGGATACAGTCATTTTCAAGTTTCTGAAAAAATATTTTCCATGGATCACCAAAACATGCAATGGATTTGGAACTAGGCCAATAGAGTAATCCTGTCAGGTTTCCTGGTCCAAGGTTCATCCACATGATCCAGATACACTAAAATTCAAGGCTTTCAGCTGTCATTTTCAAGGCTTTATAGTTGAGTTTTAAGCCTTAGTCTGTCATTGTATTTTTAAATCCAGCACAATAAATATCAATTGTAAGACTCAAAAAGCTGTATGAACATCACAAATGTTCAAACAAGATTTATTTTCACAACCAACAATAAAATAAATTAAGTCTGTCAAGAATGTTAATACTTTAATTAACAATTATAAGTCATTTGTTCAAATTCAATGCTTTTCAAGATATTTTGGCGATTTTCAATGCTTTTTAAGGTTGACACTAAAAGTCAAAGCTTTTCAAAAGGAGACTTTAAAATTATAGCCCTTTTCAAGTCTGTATGAACTTCGGGGATCAGAATTGGTTCCCAGCAAATTGAGGGTTGCTGCCCACAATATAGATCACTGGATTGTCTGGTCCAGATTCAATAACGCAGTCATACAGCTGCAGTATTGCTTGTGTTGCATTGTGTGAGCTATTTCAATACAACAGCTTAGCTAAATGTTATAATCTGTACTTCCTAATTTGTTTTACCTCTAAACATGGGCCAGATGCCTGCTTCCATGCACGGAAGAACACTTCCCCATAGAATGTGCTCATATCTCTGTGGATAAAAGGAACAGATATTCTTGTTCTATTATCAGTCACAAAATAACAAGGATCAAGTATTTGCCTATCTATATAAAAAAACATTAATATGGTTTCTATCTATTTTGCCACTGGCCTGATGTCATAACATTGTAAGACTATTGTAAAACTATGCTAAAATATGGGAGTTCCTATAATTGAAGCACAAAGATCACAAGGACTAGGTGTGATCCTATATAGTTCTATTGTAACTCATGAAAATTCAGCATTAGAAAGTGGCACTGGTCCTGTAGTCCTTGCCAATCTGCCCAATAGTTAAGAAGGTATCATAAGGACTAGAAGAAATTTGGAATTTTTTAAGGGTTGTTATCATTATAAGGACTAATGGACTAAAAATTGTTAGGTTCTGCTGCTGGAAAACTGTGCAAAGGTTGGAAAAAGAGAAAATTATGTCTAAAACATCAAGCCATAGTTATCTTTGTTAATAAATCAAAGAATACAACCTCTATTACGTCACAGCCATTAATCCTGCATTTCAGCTCTCATCACACCATAAAATCTTCAGACAGTCCTTTCCACTGTCAGCTATTCATCACAGTTGTGCAAGTAGCATCTTGCCAAAAAAAAACTGTTCGTACCCGAAGTTGCTTGCTGCACACATTAGGTTTGTCATTCAACTGAACAAGATCATAAAGAAGTTGGACCAGATGAGTGTAGGTCACTGAAGCATCTGGCTAAGTATCCTTAGATAGAAAGTGGTAACGTGTTAGGTGGTGTTCCAAACTTTTATGGTGTGATGATACCTAAAGGCAGGATTTATGGCTATGATTTAATAGAGGTAATGCATTCGCAAGAAGAAGCTACTTTGGTGTCATTTTGTTTTGTTCTTCAAGTTCCTATGGCAGTGTCCTATCAAAGTCTTTGATTCTACAAACAAAAGAGCCTAGCCCTACGGGTACATTACACAGAGTAGCGACATAATAACAGTCATGTCAGTACATATATATACAATGTTGAGACAAACTTACCTTGTTGATCCAGGAAAGAATTCTTTAAATCTCACATAAAGCTGATCTGTGAACTCTGGAGAAATGTTGAAGAGGAAGGCCAGAAACTTTCGACCCTATAACCATGACAACCCAGACATCATTACAAGTTGCAGGGTTTTCAAGTGATAAAAAATCTGATCATCTGGAACAATGTTGGCATGCAATCTACACAAAATAATGCCTCTTAACATTGTGAAATAAACATAAAAGTAAATCATATTATTGTCATTCTTTACTTCTTGTACAGGAGGGCCCATAGGTGTAAGGTGTCCCATTATCTGTTCCGAGTTACCCCCCTTAGACAAGCCAGGATCAGCTGACTATGTGTTGGAATCCCAGTTTTACCCTGCTTGGTTTGTTTGTTTGAAATTAAGTCTGAAAGTCAAGGCATTCTTGTCATAATCCTAATGTTAAAAGTTTTACATTTTGGGGTTCCTAAACTTGAAACCACTACAGCAGGAAACCAAGGAACCCAGGGCTGCTATCAAACTCTGATATTTCATGAATTTCACCTAAGTGGAAACATTAATAAACATTAATTCCACATGCCGTTATATAACAAAAAAGACTGTTCAAAGTGGCGTTAAACCCAATTCACTGACTACTGAGACAGTTTTGTTTAACGTCACATTGAACAGTATTCCAGTTATATCAGGGCATGTCACCTTTATGTGTGAGGAATGTCTGAAGTGATTTTCGCAGATTTTCACCATTTTAGTGAAACCCACAAGTATCGATATGGTGCTGACAAACCTAGAAACAATCTGCGCAAATGGACCTTATAGGTTACTGTCATACGTAAGGGAGACAACTGTGACACCTATGGTGACTGAGCCACTCTCGCTCCCCACTGACTACTAATTACACATGCTGTGTACTCTGAGTGTTCTGAGAACATGGAGAACTATAGCCTTGGATCAGACTTACCTCAGGTTCACGAAGGAAAGGTTTGGCTGCCGCACAAGCAAGCAGCCTGTGTTTGAGTGACTCCATCTCTGTACTGTCCCAGTCGACCAGCTGGACCGCTTCATGCATGGCCCACACACGCTTCACCTTGGCAGCCTGCAAGTACAGACAGGTCGTGTCAGTTTTAGTGCCATAAAACATATGTAAAGTGGGTTTATGAGGTTAACGCCACACTCTACTGATGGTGGCCAGTAAATAATCGAGCCTGGACCAGACAATCCAGCATTGATATAGTGAGCAATGATCCACACCGCTGGGATACCATGACACATATTCTACCAAGTCACGGAGTCTGACCACCCGATCCATTAAGTTGCCACATTTTGACCAGGATATGTTGCAGGGCACCAATTCTAACCATGCTAACAAAGAATCCCCACAGGGAGGGATAATTAGTTCTCATTTGTGACAAAAATGAATGTTAGGTAAAACATGTTAAAGAAGCACAAAATTATTCCCATGACAACAAATACAACCAGTAGTAGTATTAAAAATATTAAATTGGACAGCTCATGGCTTAAAAGGTTACATTTGTTCAATTTGATATTACTTTGCTGTGTTGCATAAATTATTGTGACTATCATATCAATTCATCAGATCCAAGTACAGAGAGTCATTTGGGGTCATACTCTGTGAAATTAACTTGTGGTTATATAGTTTTTGCACTGCTTTCAACATTCTGCAAATACCGTATTTTCTTGAGTATAGTGCGCACCCATGTATAATGCGCACCCCCCTCTAGCGGGTTCAATATTTTGGAAAAAAAGAAATTTGAATATTATGCGCAGAATTTTTTTACACCATACCCTTTCAGCGAAGTCCGGCAAACGAACGGGTGCTGAGAAACTTCGTCAGTACAAATTCGAAATTTGAGATAAAAAATCACCAGACATGTTTATTTACCGTTTAAATAGTATTTATTGTTCTGCTAGGCATTGTTTTATATTTAGGGATTAAGATTACCTTGCGTATTTTCTCGTAAACTAAGCTGGAAACAGCAATCAGCTGTACACACGTTTTCTTGGAATCGACCGGTGATTCGGTCAAGACACACCCAATGATATAACTTTATAAGATTTTTAATGCAAGGATCGGCAACAATTGTATCTGAAACTATTTTATTTATCAGGAATAATATATTCCATTATTTTCTTAGTTATATGCAACCTTTACTAAACATATTTAAAATAATAATAACCCTAAGCGAAGCAGCTGATCGCTATTCCCGGGTATTATTTTTTACATGGAACATGTCTGACCAGTCACCGTCAAGGCTCACGCGCACGTAATCACGTGATAGCGAGAATTTCATGTTGACATAGAATCGTCAAACAAAAACAAATATGACTTTTAACGAGTCAAAGTATGTCATTTATGATATATGTATCCATTCTCTGTCAACTAAAGTTTGTTTCAAGGCGTCAATAGCGGTATTCTGACCATGGTTGCTGTTAATAACGGTGAGTTGTGCGATCTTCCGGTCGCTTCACACACGATTTCGCCGAAATTAATAAAAACAATATTATAAGGAATTTTGAATAAAATCAATGAAATAAGTTACAAACATAAGTCCAGATATACAAAGAACACTTTTTTATAGCCAGACAGTGTAATTACATAATTATTTTGCGTACTTCAGTATGGATTTGTTGACATGGTATTTACGGTGTTTCGTGCTCACGGTAATGTCTTTCCATGGGGGAAAAAAACATCCAAACTCATAATTCGTGTATAATGCGCACCCCCTTCTACACAGCTGTGTTTTTTCGAAAAAAAGTGTGCACTATACTCAAGAAAATATGGTATTCTCAATGTTAGTGCTGAAGACAACTCAGTATTTTACTTGACAATAAGACAGTTTAGGGATTTTCATGTTTGTTGGCGTGTTTTCAAAATGGTCAAGCATGGCCTGCACCAAAGATTGAATATCAGGCTGAGAGAACGCTGATGATTGAGTGCGGTGATCCCAAGAAGTAGGTAAGAGAGGCCAATCCTGCAACCACACCCTCCGCTCTATACAATCCTCGTGTGCTCGCTCCTGCTCTTCACTGGAACGATGATACACTCGCTCCTGACAAGAGTACCTCAATCACAATCCGGACTATTATTGGTAATCCGATCCTGGCGACCTGTGGGCTCAGGGAGAGTATGTCAATCCTTATTATGGCTGTCATAGTGACAATGATCCTCAAAAGTCGACTGACGATCCCAATCCTGGCTGTCAATATCAATCCTGCCGGTAAAACGAACTGGGAGCGGTACGTCCTTCACGATCCTGACTGCGCCAGCGATACTCTGATGATCGTGAAGGAGTATGTTGATCTCGTGGAGGGGTGGATCTCGTGCTCAGCTGCGTCTGCTATCTTCTGTCCATCAGAAGGATATGTTGATCCCTATGTTGACGAACTAGGAGAGGTACATCATTCATGATCCTGACTGCGCAAGCGATACTCTGAAGATCGTGAAGGAGTATGTTGATCTCGTGCTCAGCTGTGTCTGCTATCTTCTGTCCATCAGAGAGGGATATGTTGATCCTGTGGAGAGTCATGTTGATCCTGATTCAGGCTGCACCTGTGATCCTCTGTTGATTGTAGAGGGGAATATCGATCCTGTGGAGTAGGGTGTCGATCTTGATCTGTCCATCATAGAAGGGGATGTCGATCCCATGGAGAGGGGTGTCGATCTTGATCTGTCAATCTAAAGGGGGATGTCAATCCCGTGGAGTAGGGTGTTGATCTTGATCTGTCCATCGTAGAGGGGGATGTCGATCCCGTGGAGTAGGGTGTTGATCTTGATCTGTCCATCATAGAGGGGCATGTCGATCCCGTGGAGAGGGGTGTCCATCTTGAGCTGTCCATCGTAGAGGGGGATGTCGATCTTGATCTGTCTATCGTAGAGGGGGATGTCGATCCCGTAGAGAGGGGTGTCGATCTTGATCTGTCCGTCGTAGAGGGGGATGTCAATCCCATGGAGTAGTGTGTCGATCTTGATCTGTCCATCGTAGAGGGGGATGTCGATCCCGTGGAGTAGGGTGTCGATCTTGATCTGTCCATCGTAGAGGGGAATGTCGATCCCGTGGAGAGGGGTGTCGATCTTGATCTGTCAATCTAAAGGGGGATGTCAATCCCGTGGAGTAGGGTGTTGATCCTGATCTGTCCATCATAGAGGGGGATGTCGATCCCGTGGAGAGGGGTGTCGATCCTGTGGAGAGGGGTGTCGATCTTGAGCTGTCCATCGTAGAGGGGGATGTCGATCTTGATCTGTCTATCGTAGAGGAGGATGTCGATCCCGTAGAGAGGGGTGTCGATCTTGATCTGTCCGTCGTAGAGTGGAATGTCGACCCCGTGGAGTGGGGTGTCGATCTTGATCTGTCCATCGTAGAGCGGAATGTTGATCCCATTGAGAGGAGTGTCGATCTTGATCTGTCATCGGAAGTCAAAGGAAGGGAGGGGAGCATGATTGTATAGTGGAATGTCGATTTCGATCCTTCGAACATGGACAGAATGTCGACTTATGTGGATTCACCTGCGAGATGACTTGAAAGTCTTTTGAGAAAACGGGGCATCAGACCTATCTGCTTTTAGCGTGTTTCTCGTGGGGTTCTTAGCAGCTGATGAGCCGTGTTCCACTTCCTTCTAAGATGACCGTCTATCCCGTTTAACACATTTATGATTGCAGATAATAATTTCTGCTTAAGAGAGGTCCTTGCACTGGCTACATGGTTCTGATATTTAGCACGGGCCATGGGAGTCAGAACAAATGGAGTGTGGTCCTAGGGGTGAAATGATACATCGGTGCACCATGAGTTTTCATGTGACGATACGGTACACAATTCATTTTTTCTGTATCAATATGTTTGTTAAAGACGATACACTTGCTGATATAAATTAATTATGACTCGTTAACTGACCCCCAGCGTTTTGTCAGTCAATTATTGCACATGTTGTAATTAGTGTTTCAAGGTCACTACTGATAATTGTCACTATGAACATGTGTCTACAGCTACCTTTTCTTTTTGAACGTGCTCTGAAATGATTATTGTCAATCAGTTTAATGTGTATGGCTATAGGTATTGCATCATGACCCATGTATAATGATGTATCGTATCATGACCTTGCTGTATCTTTTCACACCTTGTGGGTAATGAGCTGAAAAAGTACTTTTGCACTTCTTACAAGTTTCACATGTTTTATTATCCATGGTAACCCCTCTGAGCAAGGACAAGTTTTTAAAATTAAAATTCTACAGTATTTGCGATAAACACTGGGTTGCTGCATTTAACCCAACGCACTCACTCAATTGTAAACATGGGGCTGAACATCTACCTCAAGGAACGCAGCGTTAGAAATTGGCACTAGTCCTGTAGTCCTTGCCAAACTTCCCAATGGTTAAGGTATCATAAGGACTTGTAGAAATTTGCTCTTTATAAGGCTTTTGCTACTTGTTATCATTATAAGGACTAGTGGACTAAAAATGTTAGTTTCTACCCCTGGAAAGCCTAAAAAAAATCCCTGTATTACTTACGCTAATTTTCTCGGCAGCTTGAGCACTCTCCAGGAAGAAGTGGAGTGTGTTCACAGCAACCTCCTCCTTCCCCTCCAGCCCCCGGCGCCACCACACCTCCAGCAGCTGGGCGATGTCACCGCGCAGGACGAGCGCCTCCTCCGGCAGAGACATCAGCACACCTGCAGCCAAGCAACAAGGCACCAAGTGTCAATGAATGGTGCATTATGCTGTAGTGAGTGAGACCCGTGAAGATCCGGGCTGGAATAGGTCTTCAGCAGCCCATGCTTGCCATAAAAGGTGACTATGCTTGTCGTAAGAGACGACTAAAGGGATCGGATGATCCGGCTCGCTGGCTCGCATCGTATCCCAATTGCTTGGATTGATGCTCATGATGTCAATCACTGGATTGTCTGGTCCAGGCTTGATTATTTACAGACCACCATCATATAGCTGGAATATTGCTGAGTGCGGTGTTAAAAAAAAAAGAAGAGTAAGTGAATGTGAACATATATGGTTTTATGCTGCTTTTAGCAGGTGACACCCAAAATGGGCTTCACACATTGTACCCATAGGTGGATCGGTGTGAAATGCATGATGGGAATAACTCAGGTTAGCAGGAGTGTGTGTAGGTAAGTCAGATTTAATGTTGTTTTGAACAGTACTACAGTTATATCACAGAATGTCATCTTCAGCAAATAAAGTGTGAGGCAAAACCAAAGCGACATAGGTTCTAGACATTTGACACTTTGGTAAATTCCACGGGTATGATGTAAGCAAAGCAAGGCAAGATATCAAATCTGGAATCAGCTGATCCTACACATCCGAGTTGAGCATGACGATTTTCTTTGAGACCCAAAATAACAAACCTGTAGTCAGTAGGGGTCACTATGTTATGGCTATTTCCACTATTGGGATACTCCTGAACTAATCTTTAAGGTTGATAATTATATATCAATCAAAGTAACATAAATAAAATATTTGCTTGTAAAAACTGAGTTTTGTGTGACTTAACCTATGTTATACTTATAACTAATTGTGACTATTGAAACTATCGATTATTATGCATACTATCAACAATACCAACAGCGATTTTAAATTCCTATCGGTATGGTACAATCTAGGGCTGGGACGGATAACTCGGGTCAGGTGGGTCCTGTGTACAACCCGGATACCCACAGTACTACCTGGACCCGTGGCTATTCACATGAGATATTGTTTAAGGACAAAAGTGATCTAGAACTCTTTGGTTACATTACAAGTCACTAATGTTCACATTTCTTTCTGACTATGCACCCATTCCTTCTGACCTTTATAAGTTTGAATGAGCATAAAACTTCAGACAACTTCAGTGTTTGCATGACCAGATTGTTTTATACGACGTAACGTGTATCTAAATACATTTTGCCAGGGCTACAGTCAAACTATTTCCAATCAGATATTTTGTACCCAACTCTTGAGACAGTAGGTACCTTGGTAATAGCGAGGTGGGTACCCGGATAGTAAATTTGGACTCGGACTGCCCTAATACAATTGTAGGGCAAACAATTACAATACACATATAGTTCGATGTATTGTTGCACTCCTAGTAGTCAACACTCACCATGAAGGAGGACTGCAGTTTCAAAGAGGCAAGGGGGAACTGGGTCCTTCTCATTGTGCAAGGTGGCTCGGGCGATGAATACTACACACTCCAGTAGAGAAAACGTGTGCTTCATTTTCTGTAAAAGGTGTATATGAGGCTTAATAAAATAAAAGAATTGGTTCTCAGGCAATGACTTTTGAAAATAAAGTGCAGGCGGATGGGTGGTATTTTTGGGGTGTTTTTTTTGCTTGTTCAAAGTAGTATGTAACCAAATAAACAGTTGTGTACCATCAACCTGGGAAAGGGTCTCCCTGCATAAACAAACTCCTATTGCAGCCATGACCATAACACAAGATGCACAGTAAAGACGTATGCATGTAAAGGGAAGTAACTGTGTGCTATTAGGATTTTTGTTGTTGTTGAAAATGAAAATAAATGAAATGTGCGGGGGACTTTATGATGAAGTGGTCAGTGCCTGAAAAGCAAGACTATTATTTTCTTTAGCCATAGTGATACAGCTCAAGTCACTTTGTTCAGACAAACACTTTTATGATAAATAAATACTGAAGATTCAAAAAATTTCCAGGGAGTTTACAAGTTCATGTACAAAACTGACAAGAAATGTCGTGATTGGCACTCGAGCTATGAAGAGAAGTGTAGACATCTGTAGAAATAACAGCAAGAACACACACCTAAGCCTCTGTTGCACCCTTACATCAGGAGACAGCAGCATGTAACTTTATTATTACCAGATGCTGCCATTCATCATGTTCATGCCAACTGTCATTAATTGGAAGAAAAGTAAAAACATCCCTCATTCATATTTTAAAAAAGGGACATTCAATTAATCCTGTCACCTAACTTCTTAATTTTATCTTGTAGCCTGACAAGTCAACATTTTTTCACCTTGTCATGAAAACCATCGTTAACACAGGACTTGATTAAGACACAAATAAAAATTTCACAAGCATTTTCAGACAGCAAAACAGCAAAACAGATTATAAGCATATTGATAAGCTAACAATAGAAACAATGCCACTTGCTACAACTTATATAAGGCAAATGGGAGGAAAATATTTTGGACATGACTTTCAAGAAAGACAACTCTTGTACTTCTTCATCTTCATCCAGACTCATGATGGCCTCTGTTGTCATGGAGTACAGCTCTGTCCACATGTCACTGACATCTCGCTGCTGACAAGACGACAAAGTCTCACGCAGTTTTCTTGCTTTCTGATTTTTCTGAAAAAATTAATGAAAGAAAAACCCATAAAACATTAATTATCAACATTCTATGGCAAGGACTATATTATGAATATGATTCTAGTTTTTTCCTTTCAGCTGTGAATAAAAAATGCAAAGTTCAAAGAGCCTACATAATGTTTTGTTTGTTGTTTAACACTGCACTCATCAATAGTTGTTATATAGTGGCTATGTGTAAAAAATCGAGTCTGGGCCAGGCAATCCACGGACTGACACCATGAGCATCAGCCTACGCATTTAGGATATGATGACATGCAAGAAACATGTCAGCGAGCCCGAGCAGCAGTTCCCTTAAAACAAGCATTGGTTGCTGAAGATCAACTCTATAATGGGGGGTGTAACATCACACAACGTTGAAAATACTTAGATGATGGCTTGTTTTTAAGAGAAAGTTGTCTTTTAAAAGTGAATGAGATGTTTACAGTTGTTCGTGTGATAAGAGAGAAAATTACGAATGTTTCTTAATCGTCCGAAAACCCTCAACACGGGATACCTGACTGTTACAATTGAACACCCATCTTTAGACTCAAACAAAAAAACCTGCGAACATATGTCCTATCTCAAATGAAATCTGTGCGAACATATGTGATACATTAGTATCTAGACTCTAAGTACAACTCCTTCGCAAAAAAGGTTGGCTCCTAAAAAATTTGGCTTCTACAATACAGTGATCCCTTGCTACACCGCTACCCTTGGGGTCCAAATAATTGATGAGTGTTATAGACAATCAGCAGTTTAACCGAGTTGGAGTCGTAGGGGGTAGATGACCAACACAACAGTACATGCTGTGCTTACCTAAAACAATCGACGCTGTACCTTTCAGAGTTTAAATAAAGATTAGAACAGTAGTTTTTTATGATTCATAGTGTAACAAAAATTTATCGAGTGTTATGTGCTTTAAAAAATCACATTGTATCCCTTCACTGAATTCCTGTTAGGAGACACTTGGCTCCCTATAAAAAACAAACTGAGAAGGCTGACCCACATATGCATGCACGTCACTATATAAGTGCAAAAGTCTTGAATGTGACATTAAACCTCCCTTCAGGTCACCTGTAAAGATGTTCTTAAAATTAACCAAATACTTACATTAGATTCACTTGATATGAAAGAGATGATTCCATCTGCATTTTTCTTCTCACAAAGAGAGAACAACTCTGTGCTTGGCATATTGAATTCTGGAACATAATATCGTCATGGATGAACCTGAACAGTTGCAGATGTAACTCCATGCAGGAATTTATCAAGTCCCACCTAGAGGCCGATATTCAGCCCCAGTCTGCAGCAATTGTCATCAAACTTCCAAAATATGAATTAAAAACCTTTCCAGCTCATGTAGATGTGGTTATAGCTAAAGTTATGGCCTTTTAGAGACTTCACTGATAATGTGGCCAAGAAACATGATATAGAGGAAGGGATGTTGAAGGTTGGAGATAATTTTTAAGGTTAGTAGAGATTACTGCATTGAATGAAATGCTGAGAATGCATAGGTAAAACACCTTTGAAGTTAAGAATATAGGTACGTTTAAGAATCCCAATATTGAGCAAAGTATAGATATTTTTCCAATTTGCCTGCTGGTCTAAGGGCTCTTCGTTTGGAATCCTAGATAAATCCTTGCGTACATAAAACAGGTCCCCCGTTACGTGTTTAAGTGACTGCCTTAAATGAAGAGCTGTTTCTTTCTCACATTTGATTTCATTCATGACCTCTTCAAGATTGAAAATTCATAATTCATTTATTTACTAATAAATTTAAAGAAGGATACAGACAATTGTGATGCTTCCACAGAATGGAATAGGTTGAGTGAGCAATGATGCTTTCAAAGACACGGCTCTTCGTGAGTCACTGCAATGTCTAGCTTAACTATACTTAATTCACATGACTAACATAACTAATCATGTGGCATGCACATTTTAGATGATGATATTAACTGGTCAGTAAGTTGATTGGAAACCTTGTTTTTCCACTGTGCACTCTGCATGCTCTTAGCATCATTATACAAATTGACTTAATCATTTCTCCAAACATTAAATGGGCACATTGCTGTGAGTCTAATAAAAAAAAATCAAAGTTCCGAATATTTAAGAAACAATAAAAAAAACAATGCCAATAACTGGTTGGTGGAAATGTCAGAAAGTAGATAGGCCTAGTAAATTTTGATGTTCTAACAGAATGGAGTAGGTTTGAGAAAACGCCGCACTCAGCAAGATTCCAACTATAGATTCCAGACAGTCCAGTGATTGACATCGTCTATCTACCCAACTGGGTTACGGTGACATGCATCAACCTATTGAGCAAGCCTGACCACACGATTCCGTTAGTCGCCCCTTACTACGGAATCTCTCTTACGACAACCACCAGCTGACCACGGTTTGGAATGTCAGTAACTCGTATCACATAAAGCTAATGTATGCGATGAACAGTATTGACAACAAGCAATCAAATCAAGTCGATTTGACCGAGACATGGAACTATGACCTACATTGGTTTTGGAAAGTTCCTCTTTGCTCTTGAATTTTAGCGCCACAATATTATGATCTCGCCTTTTCTCCTTCACAGACGAGATTAACAGTAATTGACTGGGTGACTGTCTACCAAAAGCGCCAAGCCTGCGGCGCGTACCAACAGTGGAACCAGTTTATATCGGTATGCATTCCTTAGCACAACTTATGTTATATCCACCAGATATATGTTGTATCTGGAACAACTCTAACAAATGCGCAAACAAAAAGAGCACTTTTGCGGATATATTTTTGAAGATAAACATATTACTTATCCTAACATATTTTCTTTACACATATTTAATAAATAAATGCGGTAAAACGTACATATTAAAGTTGTTGACTGCAAATAGCATATGATATTATTATCGCGATAAGGAGCTCACACTAACATCGTGTATTTCATCGCATGTTTTCGTGTTCCTAAACAGGCTAAACGGATACATGTAAATGAACACAAGAGCACAGGTATATTGACCAAAATGGACAGACGATTAAAATGTCTGTTTTCGATCCTCAAATGTGCACCTTTCAATCAGCTATAATAACTATATTATAATAACCATGAATATATATTTTTTGTACTGTGCAGCTTTACACAGTCTGCAAACCCGTTTTACGTTTATACCTCCATAAGCTAAAAAAAGTTTTGAAGTCAATACTCGCCTTTTGTAATTATGATATTTTGTCCTTCGTAAAAGAATGTTATGAAATTGTCAGGGGTAGATAACCCGTAGTTCTTAGGTTATCTACGCCGGAAAAATGTGTACAATATTTTACCAAGGACAGAATATATTATAATTTCGAGTGGCGAATATTCACTATATGGATTTCCCCATCATAAATGAAGACGTCAGCTCAATCATTGTCATGATTGTTGGGACAACGTCGCATAAAATCGCCTGCGACGTCATGAACAATGGATGACGTGTTCTCCCATTATTTGCGAATACACGTTGAAATGACGTCACGTTGTTATGGCCGCTTCCCACAACAACAATGGCATCAAAAATTGTAATGCTCAGTGAGAATATTACTTGAAACAACTTCACCGACATGCATGTCGCAGGGGGAAATAAAAAACTGTTACTATTCGGCATGTAGCAAGATATAATTGCTGAAGAACTGAACAGATAGCATTGCCCCTTTGGGTAATGTATGGATATTTTCCTTGCGACCTTATCCCAGCACTCTTGTTCATGAGTTTGAGTCAACAGTCGTACTTGAATTTCCCGTTTGTTAACGTTCGATAAGTTCAATGTTTGAAATAGCGATTTTTTAAATGATTATGTTCACTGTGGAACGGATTGGTGTTTTATTTCAGAAAATCTCCCGGTAAGGACTGATAAACACCACACGGAGCCTTTCTTTGCCTAGTTTACCTGTGTTAAACGATATTGAAACGGTCTAAAAAAATTAAATGAGGTAGAAACAGGAAACATTCCACTGACGACGCCATGAATTAAGAGGGTGCCAACAGAGACCATATAATAGATATTAGGTCTCTGGTGCCAACCAGCCTCCTCTGGGCATCCGGAGCACCATTTATTTTGTCTTGGCATCCAATTTAAGAATTTAGTGTACACAGCTGGTAAAAGTAATTTAGACTGGGATTTTCATATATAATGCCTAAGCTTAATTAGGGCTAAATATGTGATGAGTTGTCACTCTTTGCAAGAAAGACGACGAAAATTAATTCTCACAATGAAATATTTGCATCCACGTACTAGATAAACATTTCATGGTATCCAGCGTACTGCACTGCAACATCCCCAATACCCCCTCAGAGTTCTGCATCCGGCGCATCAAAAGGGGGATGGCCCCCTCAATTTTACAAAGTTATTTTCGAATCGGGTGAGGATACATTTTCACTTCCCCGTTGGTGATGGCTGTAAGGAGAAGGGTTGTACGTTGTGGTAAGTTTGAATCCATTTATACAATCAGACTGTTGCTCATGCATAACTCATTTTCTTGCTGACCTAGACCCGATTTTGAACTTTTGAACTTTTGCTGACCATTCTATTTCATTTCAACGTCACCTGTCTGCTAAATCTCATTTAATGTCGGCTAATTGAAGAAACACACACACTATAGATCAGTCTAGGCAGCACTGTCCCATGCAAAGTCAAGTCGGAGACAGGCATGACAGGAAACAGTCGTGGAACTATAGCCTCATTTTGAATGGAATCAGTCGTGACCAACTCGTGTTATTCCGGGACAGGTTACGGAAAGAGGCGAGTGGTGACGAATGGAATGGAATAAGCATGTGTGTATACATGGCGTAGAAATTCGACAGGATACATCCACGAATGTAAATTTTCATTATCCGCTGTAGTAGTGCCAAAGACGTGCCGTTGTAACGAGTGAGGGAATGAGTATGGTTTTACGCCACCTTTACCAATATTCCAGAAATATCACGGCGGGGACACCATAAATGTACATTGTACCCAGGTGGGATTAGCCATAAGGCCGTACTACATAGAGATTAATATATGAGCATGTGTGTCCTACTGATTTTACGAAACGAATGTCAGAATTCCTGTATTTCCCGAACGAAAGTAGACTAATATCTAGTCTCTGAAATGAACATATCTTACGGAAAAAAACACTTGTTAAATTATAGTTATAAAATATAATAAAAAGGACCCCAGAGACTTTCTTCATTTTCATTTTTTACTGCAGAAATCTAGACTTGCCAAACATTATAGATTTGCATGGGCTGTATTGGGTATATTTGTTTCAGGGTCTGTATGACAGACTCGAACGAGAGCGAAGGTATTACATGAATTCTGACTAAAGTTTCGTAAAATCAATAGGACACATATATGAGAGTGTTATTATCTGAATCGTTTTGAGCTTCCCTTTAGACAAATACGCTTATAACGACCGTCGTCTAAAAAACCTCAATTGTCGAATGACGTTCACAATCCTTGCGCTATGACCTCGTTCTAGTGTGACGTCATTCCTACCTAACGTCACAATATGATTCGAATGACGTCAACAATGATATTTACACAGTGCGCGTGAAGAGATATTTGCACTAATGCACATACGATTTGTACTAACTCGGTTATTTCTCACCCTAGGGTTGTAAATTGTTGTAATGATGTTTGTATTTTGCATATGGAGCTATCTTCTGTTGTTTCCAGTTGTTCTTAACCCAAGAACGACGTTCTCAAATAATTAGCAATCACGAAAATGCTGCCAAGGAGTGTAGTTTGCTCCCTGCAAGTGGACGCGGTGTTGCGAGCCTACTCTACAGTCACCTGCCTTGGAAACTGGTCGTCGCTATTTTACACACTTTTCGAGACCGCGGAAGCGTACCGCTTTTATCGAGTGGTATAGCTCTTCGTATCTCGCGTACAACTCAGTTTGACTGTTATTCTATGTGCGTTCGGCTGATACATGTGCGCTGTTATCGCTCTGTCGCCTGGCAAACAAGAAATGTTATAATACATTGATGCGGTGAATTCGTAGACACCGCCACCTCGAAGACAAACCGGGAGTGAATTTGATCGAATGATGATAAGTAATCTTAGCAATATAATTATTATCACTTATCGGCATACCGGTCTCGTTTATGTTTCTGAGTGTTTCGTTTGCATGTTGTTGTTTTTTTTTAATTTTAAAAGTGTTAAATAAAAGATATGGTAAGGCCGCTTTGTAAATAAATTAATAATCCGGTAAGTGGTGAGTAGGGGATTACCGTACTTTTGTTTTGAAAGCATTAGCAGCATCCTTTGTAAATAGGTACATACATGTATATCCAAGCAGAGAGGGACAAGATGATAGCAATAATATTTGTTGTCTTTTAAAACTTACTATTTTGAAATACATTTGCCACATCATAATTCAATATCTGTATGTAATAAATCAATAGTTGAGTATATTTCCCTACCATATGTCTTTTGTCTACGAGTTCCCTGAATTTTGTCTTCGATTTTGGCGTGTCTAGGAATTCTCCTTGTTCCCAATTAGTGTGGTGAGGAATATCTATGTCAGAATTTTAATGTGTATATTTAGAGGCTAGAAGTATGTTTATTGTTTCGCAATTTTATGTCAAGTTGCATATTTAGGACGTTTTTGTTATTTCATTCTTATTTAAGATAGTACAATATTTCCCAATAGCATTAACAACCAATAAAATAAAATTTATTTTCATCGTACACATTTTCACCCTGCTTTATAGAAAAAAAAAATTCTAATAGGAGGGTCCGACTTTCTTTCAACGCAATATTTTCACTACATCCAACACGTCCTTTAATCATTATTTTGTTTGTAGAAGTTGAGGCAAGTATTTCCTGGTACAAATTGTAATCTTATAAGATTACCGTGGTTACACCTCTTATCTTACCCACAGTGGACGTCTCTACATTTTCATTTCCCAATATGCCATACATGTGTACCACCATTCTCTCTCCGACTAGTCCTCATTCAAGGGTGACAATGTATTCAATGAACACCATGTCATCTTACAGTGTCAGTTCACCCACGGTGAGTGAGTTGGGTTTAACGCCGCTTGTAATGTCAGCTTAATGTTGGAGGAAATCGCGAAGTGATGCAGGTCTCAGACGTTTACCACTTCGGTGAAACCCACGAGCACGGTAATGGTGCTGACAAAACTAGAAACATAATCGAGGAGTCGAACCCACAATCATAGGTTTCTGGCGTGCCCAAGGGGCGCAACTCTGCACAGCGAATCCCGGCGCCTAAGACGACTGGGCCACCCGTGGCCACCCATTCGCCCACGACATATACGTATTGGCCATTATATGCTGTTATAATAAAATATATAAAATATGTATTTTACTAAATTGTTATTTATATATACATAATAGAAAGGAGCTAATTTTCCACATGTTCGTATATTCTTTTGTCAGGGTCTGTATGTGACACTATTTAAATAGTCAGGCTTTCAGATGCCATTTTCATACCACTTCAAACCATCTAATAAGGCTGAATAAGGCCATCAAAGAATAAATTATGTCGTAGAGAATTATTCCAATTGTGGAAATATGATGAAACAAATTCCGACAACGCGTTTCGTGATCGTTGTGG